GGAGTATCTGGGGAGCTGGAAGATGAGAACTGGCGACTTTGTAGTACGACTTTAGTATGCGGCTGAGTCATCTCTATTCTGTATTTTGCAAAATGCATGAACAACGTTTTTTCCTGCGAGACAGTTGACGGTGGTTGCTTCGCTTTCGCTCCATTGGTCGGTTCCAACTTGTTTTGTCAAAGAACATCGCAGCTCGGCGAATCAGCCTGCCACATGCCCACTCCCTATAGGTTTATTCTTTTGGAAACTTCCGCCGCCGGCTTGCCCGGGAACTACTTGTACGTAACCCCCTGTAGGTTTTACGGGCGACTCACCAGCAAGCTCCTGAGAACTTGCTAAATTGCTATGGAATGTTAGGGGCTGGCTAACATTCTGGAGACTTCTAGAGCAGCATTGCCTCAAAATTCTGTCTCCTCTACAACTCAGTGAACTTGCAGAATGTATCTAAGTTAAGTTTTTCAACCTGGATCCTTTGTTCCTCTACCTCCCTTGCCACCTGCTCCTGTAGACTCCAAGCAGGAGTCGGAAGTGTTGCCTAACTCGGCCACTGTAAACAGCGTCATTGAAGCGTGCGAGAGGACCGGGTGGAAGGTTTTGTGATCGCAGAGTAGTGCTTGGAGGGCTGTCAATGGCCCAAGCCGGCCTGGGGACCAAGCCATATTCCATAGCATCTGGGGAGTCTTGCTTCTCAGTTTTGGTCCCAACAATCCATAGTTTCAAGGTGGATCCGTGCCGTAGTTCAATCAAGACTTCTCAATACTCTCCGAGCCCTACTCTTCGCCTAACAATTTTATGGTTACTAAAGAGCAAGGTCCAGGAATTCTGGATGATACAGGGTGTTGTGCTCCCGCAACTCTGCCAGTTTCCCCACTCCAAGTTGGACCTTACAAAGACCATCGGATTCTGTAGTTTCCAGACTTCCCCATCTTGGCAATCAATCCAGCATGCGTCGTTCCCTTGACTTAATCCTGCCGCCTTTTGTTAGATCCACCCAAAAGATCCCTTTGGACAAGCAACGCGAAGTTAGACCAATGATAAAGACAAAGAGAGACAAATCTTAAGCCCAGGGCTTGGATCTTTGGATGACAATAAGACCTTGCTGTCAAACTCCTCGGTCTGAGTCTCTCTGCTACATTCCCAGGAGCTGTCAGTGGCAGCTGGCCTTGCTGCTTCTTTGGGCAGAGCCCAGACCCACGGCGGTCACGCTACTCGGTGCAAGGGCAGAAAAGTGGCAGATCGCAATGCCTTGTGTATATGGAGGTGGTAAAAAGGATGTACTGTTTAGCTTCAGACAAAGAAGAACCGTTTTTTTTGCCTGGTTCCAACAACTAGCCACGATGCCTACATGGTTCTTACCAAATCCAATATGAACCTTGCTGTTGGCTGTTGACACCTCAGATGGCTATGTGAAAGAACTGTATGTCTGCATGTGGTGAAAAACAAAAACCTTGGACACTCATACCACCACCCACGCTCCCCTCCCTAACCCCTCATTTCTCATGCCTGATTTTTCGCAGTGGCTGATGGAAGGAATTCATGGAGAGCCAATGCCCAGAGTGATATCGCCACCTGGGACGATCGACTACCTGGCACTCTTCGTCCCTCCGTTCGGCTGCGCGTCTTGGGGTGGACGACGGTGACGGTTTTGGGCGGCCCAGGTTCAGCGCGGCCATGATGGCCTGCGTCCAGGGCAGCGTTTGGCTCATGGCTTTACGGCTGTTGACCGAGGTGCCGCAGGCCTTGAAGCAGGGCCGGGGTGGATGAGATGGGTTGGGTTGGGATGGGTTGGGGGGGTCCAGTTGATGGGGAAAAGTCTTTGTTATGAGGGAGGCTATTATTTTGGAATCCCTGATTCCTTCACTGCGAGTGCTCAGTTGGGCCCAAGTCTTGGACGATTTTGGTATTCTTGTTCCCTTCTTACAAGAAGCCTCAGAGTTGCTTCCTGTTCCTTTCAAACATTTCTCTTCCAACCACACTCCTGCAAGTCGGACCTGGAGCAGATCGATCGTCGCTGCCCAGGCTCAGCTCCGTCGGGACTTGGTGCTCTTTGGCTCCGGCCTGGCGGCTGCTGAGCTGGGCGGCGCCTGGAGGCGAGTTGGGTTGCACCGGTCGCAGTGGAATCTCAAAAAAGACGACGGGTTTGCCGTATTTTTGGAGGCCTGATCGCCTTGGCCTGGTGTTTTGGTGTGTTACATGGGGAGACCCAAAGCATTTTGGAGATTCTTTTTTGGGTGGGTTTTGATGTTGGTGATCTTCATTTTTTGATGTTCCACCTTTGCCTGGTCATCCACTTCCATGATTCTTTCAGGGGGTGTATCTCAAATTCGAGCCTAAGTAGAAAGTTTGTGTGTGTTTCTTTTTTCCAGGTGGGTCGAAACCACACAAAGAATTATCGTGAACTAATTTCCTTTGCCTCGTGACTGTCGTGACTGTTTATTTTTTTGAACCGACTCTTGAACTCCTGGAGTCGGGCAGGAGTAGCTTGGATCTGCTGCAGATGTCCAATGCCGAGGCCTTTGGGAACTGTGCAGGTGATCTGGGATTGAGCTCCACCCTCTTGATGGAGAGGAGCTCAACCAGCTCAACCCTGGTCCGAAGTCGGGCGAAGTCTGTTTCGATCTGGGTCTTGAGGGGTACTTACTGGTGGCCCTACAATTTGTGAGGCATTTCAGTAGTGAGGCAGTTCCAAAGGGGTGCTTAATGGAGGTTAGGGGTGCCCATTATCCACTTACTTAGGGACTAAACACCACCCCTTTGTGACTCCTGGCACATGTCTTTTCTTTGAGGCTTTTCTGGAGGTGTCTTTGAGGCTTTTCTGGAGGTGGGCTCTCAGCGACCCAAAAAGATGCCCTTTGTTTCCCCTGAGGTGGGCGAAAGGAGCGTGATCACCCATAGCTCGGCTCTAACACGGTGCCCTTGGGCTTGGGCCATGCAGCTCTTAGGCGCGGGAGTGGAGGGTGGATGGAGGTGGATGGAGGGTGGATCTAGAGGTGGAGGTTTGGTGTGTTCTTCTCAGGTCTTAGCCCCAACCAGAATCACATGGCATCTTTTGGAAGTGTTTACTTCGACACATGTTTGGAGATGTTTTTTGTGGATTCCAGATGCTGTTGTCCTCTTTTCCTCTTCTGTACGTCGAAGGCGTCTGCCTGTGACCAGTATGCACTGAATTACGAATTGCATGCAGCCGAGTTGAAATCAGGCCCCATTGCAGCCTGCTGATCGAACGACTGTACGAAGTGTTCAACTGTCGACAGGAAATCGCTCGGCAGGCTCAATTCTGGGCCTTCCTTGCGCAACTGGTGTTCGAAAAGCCACGCCAAACATGCACAAAAATCCGGCGGATATTGCTTTAGAACACCAGTCTTCCAGGACCCATCGGCATTTTTGCCGATTGCCGATGTTTTCGGCAACTGGGTCGTGCGGTGTCGCACAAGGATCTGTTCAGGGTCATTGCCACCGTTCAGGATGAGCAAATCAGTGGCTTTGGGGGTCGCTCCCCCATAGTGCCCTTGGAGCACTCGGATCTTCTTCACATTCGAAAAGCGTAAAAAGAAAGCCACGACATCAAGTTTCCAAATACTTGGATCATTGGGCTCAAGTCCAACCTCCGCTGGGTGCTCGATCACCGCGGTCGCCCCAGAGAGAATACTAAACCAGAAAAGCGTAAAGGAAATCCCCAAAAGGAGGCTTCCAGTGCTGACCTGGACATGCTCTTTGAAGGTCAGATCTTGCAGTCCGAATGGCATCTGTTGGCTGCGAACTGGTCGCGGTCCTCCAGGAAGTTCGTGTTTGCGGGCTTTGCTCCACGTCTCACACGGTGGTCCCGCGACCCATCCAACAAGCATGCCAGATTGGAGGGCTTTCAGGAAAAAGTCCATCGTTGCAGCTCTCCCTAAATCACCCAGCTCTTTATGGAAAATGATATCAATCGAAAGGGCTGTGAAACCCATCTGTTCCCAATAGTACTGCAGGTCGCGGTCTCTACGGGTTCCTGAGAACAAATGTGCCACCATCCTTGGCTTATATCTTGGCGCGTCTGGCACGATGTATGACAGCATGTCTAGACAAAGGCCTTGCATCGCAAAGAAGTGCTCAATAGTCTCTATTGGCATCTCCACAGGCAACTCCCGCTGTAAGAACCACGCTGCTGAAGCCAGGTCCAAAAACTGCTGAACAACATCACATGCATTCATAGCATTGAGAGCTTCAACAACCTCTGGCATCTGACTCCATGCATTCATGCTCGCAAGGATTTCATTGTGATACAGCGTTGTAGATCTTGTCGCTTCTCGCAGCCGCTCAATTAGAGCATGTTGGCTCACTTGAGGACTTAAAGAAACATTCCACTGATTCCACAATTCAGTCCGTTGTCGCTGAGCATAGCTTTGGTGCCCTTGGTTCATCGGTGGCATTGCCTTCGGACCTTCTGCCTGCAGCACCGGGTCTGGCAACGTACCTCGGGCATCATCATCGACTTTGCTGTTCACACCGCGTTCTCGCAAAACTGCTAGTCCTCGATCGCAGTAAAACTGCTTGCAGTCTTGGCTATATCGAACATGGTTCAGCAGGTCGGAATGACGCGAGTAGACTCGCAGACATGACTCACAGACAGTTCCTGTGACATATTCACGGACAAACGTGGGTCTATCGTGCTGTTTGAAAGAGTGTACTGCACATGCTGCGGCTGAGTCAAAAACTCGTCGACATTGCAAACAGTAATGTTCTCCTTGTATTCGGCGAGAGTCGCAACCTGGCACCAAACGGCATGCTTGTACACTCCGGAAAATAGTCTCGTGCCATTTGGCCCATTTGTATTTGCGCTCAGCAAAGTTTTGGCTACGTTTCACAGCTAGCTTGATAAGGCTCTTCCATCTCATAGGCGCCTCACAGACATAGTCAGCAAAATCGTTCCATTCTCGTGTTGGGCACGGACAGGGCTCTGTCGGGCAGTAAGATCGCAGCCACTCGAAATCCGTTTGGATGAGTGTCCACCAAACTTGTTCAGTTTGCACCATTGCCCAAAAAAGCGCTTGGCCCTTGACTGCTAGGTGTCCTAAATATCGGAGCCTTGCTTGGGTTAAAAGCACTTCGGGTCGTAGGAGCTCAAGCTCAACAAAGATCTTTGCTTGTCCCCAATGCATAGCCTGGGCACCAAAATGCAAGATCGCAGCTCGTCTGTAAAGCTTGAACAAACCTTTCTGAAAATGCTGACGCTCTCGTGCCGTGGCAGGATTCCAGACTGCGGCATTATACGAAATCACTGACATGGCTAAGGACTCGAAAAATTGCCTCTTGCGAGACCACTGCATCAGCTTGTTACCAAAGATTTGGGTTTTATATCTTGTCAGCACATTATGCGCCTGTGCGAATTTTGTTCGGAACTCTTTATCATGGTTCTGTCTTCTTTGCATCCAAGTACCGAGATGTTTATAGTCACCGACTACTCTCAGTTTGTCTTGGACAAAGCTTGAAGCAGTAGGGATCTCATAGTTGCCAGCACATAAATTTTTCCGAACTTGGACAGAGTGCTTTCCCCGGATGTCAACAAGGAGCTCGGACTTACCTTTCTTGAGATTAGGCACCAATCCTGCTACAAAAAGCGCATCAAAGATCGCCCCTGCAACTTCTCCAGCAACTTGAAGCAGGTCAATGGCTTGTCTGACAATCATCGTCCTACAATCATCCTACAGATGCTGTTGTCCTACAACCATCGCTCACCCTCACCTTCGGTCCTGACAGTGTTTGGTCATGAGGGCATTGAGCAGCCCAGTAGTCTAGTGGTGACCGAGATCCGATAGAATTGAGGAGAACTACAGGCCCATTTGTTGGTCTTCCAGTCTTTGAGCAAGCAAGAGCTACAAATCCATTCTCCTCAACAAAGATTTATTCGTTCAGGGCGAGGCATACCGACGCATACCGAGGCGTTTTCGATCTGTAGGTTATCATCGTCCATTTGGTCGCAACACGGTGAGATCTTCGGAGGTGATCCTCTGTCGACCGAAGAAGGAGCTCCGGTCGCCCGAAAAATGCTGGATGGGAGCGTGGTCCCGCCTGCGGGGTCGTCAGGAGAGATGCCTTCGCTCCACCTTCAAGCCGACATGGTGGCACAGACCTCAGTCGCCAGGCTGCAGTGGTCGCCGTCCGAAAGTGGTGTGGTCGTGGTCCGATAGTGGTCAAGTAGACACAGTCAGTAATTAGACCAGCGATTTGATGCGTTCTCTAAACCGATCTTGTTTTTTCTTTTTTGTTTGAAGAAAAATCAGGTCTCAAAGCTGCTTCAACCTCAACCCCAACCCCACTCCAGGGGTCTCCGCGCAAAAACCCAAGCTGCCAAGCTCATTCGTGAACTTCAAGGTTGCGTTGAGTCTTGATCGTGCAGAGACCCTAGCAATTTCTAGAAGACATATCTAACCCTTCATCATTGTCCATAGTTGTGAGAACCACATCAAGTCTACAGTGCTTCTTTTTCCAAGCAGCGAAGCTGCTTGGGATCTTCAGCCGTAGAAAGAACCTGCCCAAAAAGCTTCGGATCGATGGTTCCATTGTTTTGGAACAAGAACCCAACAGATTCGCCGGAGTTGGCGTTCCATGTGGTCCCTGTCACGTCATTCAGCCGACTGGTCACCCAGGCGCTGCTCGCCTTAGCGGATGAGGCGCAGTGGCCTTCGGCGCTGGCGCTGCTGGACGGCGATGGCGCCGTCCGCGCGTCGCCGGTGACCTTCTCTGCGGTGCTGCGCGCATGCGAGGCGGAGGGAGCAGGGGTTTTCTGGAGATCTTGACATTGAAAGACCCAAAGACTTGGCCCCACCAAAGTAAAGGTCATTTCTTTTTCTGGGGGTCCTAAAGACAATTTTTTTCAATGGTGTTGGACTCCCACATGATATGCAATTTCATTTGTGTGGAAGCTATACTGCTATACCATCCGACCTGCCAACCTAGGAAGTAACAGAAAGACCTTCCAGAGCAACTGCTGATGCAAGAGCTCACACATCAGCTTGTGTACAGAGAGGGGACTCGCTGTTTATGCAGGTCTCTTCTGCACTGTATTGCAGACAGCACCAATTTTTGGAGAACCTAAAACCGATCAAACACCCTCTGCCCTCAAGAAGTTGCAAGTGTTAAGGACACGGCTCTTTTTCACATCGCCTGGTTTACCAAGAAACTGGTGGAGCAGACCGAACCTTTTGGCCACATTGACTGGCCAGGACCGCGAGAGGCACCTGCAGGCGAGCCTGGCAGATGTCAACAGCTGAAGTTTCTGAACAAAACCCACCATGTATATAAGGGATAGCAAGGATGATTCACCCCGAGCCGCATGCGGGGTGGCTTCATCAGCTTCGAAGTAGGTACTTTTCCCTTTGCTGGGGATCTTTACTTCAGCTGTGGCACTTGGGTAGGATTGTCATGCGGATTGGGAGCTGGGATTTTCAGATTGGCTCGCTTGACTTGAAGCTTGAAGCTTGCAAGAACGATGACATGTTGAATTCCAGCGGTGCGGCTTTATTTGCCTGAACGACTTGGTATAGTATATTCCAAGCATGACAAGAGGTTTAACCTCCAGCAAAGACTCAAGCAAAGATGAGGTGGAACGTCATCCATCCACGGAAGCGTTCATAAAGACACATACCAGTGGGGCTATATTAGGTTTTGTGAAACTCGAGACATCGGTCGATCCAAGCTGAGTCCCGAAACCTCGGTTGCCATCCCGGCCCAATCATAGGGGCCGTATCTTACCCCAAAGCCATGCCGACTTTTTGCAGGAAAAGGTTGTGAGGCGGCCGTGCGATCCACGTGTTCTACAGTGGTAGCGCGGAGCCCTCGGTTCCATCCAGGGCAAAGCTTAGGCCATGAGCGGGGATGAAGGCGGTCGCCGAGAAGAGCGACGGTTTGCAGCTGCCAGCACGGCAGCAGCCAGGGCGGACTACATTCCACGAGACCGAGACCCACCGCCGACCTACGACGGAGAGAATCCTGAAACCACCTTCCGACAGTTTGAGAAGCAAGCCCAGCTATGGCTGTTTGAGACGGAGGTCCCGGAGACCAAGCGCGGCGTCAAGCTCCTGAGACAGCTCACAGGAGTAGCCGCCACGGCGGTCGACGACATGGAGGTCAGCGAGATCGTGCATGAGCAGGGCGTGAAGAACATCATGCAGAAGTTGAGGGAATACTTCACGCCTCACCTTGAAGTGTCTTTGCCACGGGCCTTCGAGACCGCAGTCTACGGGACGCCCAAGCAGACCAAGGAGACCTTCGCCGAGTATGCCAAACGAATGGAGAGGGCATTCACGAATTTGGCCAAGGAGGGTGTGGACCTGCCGGCCGACGCCAGGGGCTACATCCTCTATCGTCAGGCCTCCTTGACGGAAGCTCAGGATCAGAAGTTGTTGACATGGACGCAAGGCAAATACAGCCGAGCTGAAGTGACCAGTGCACTCCGTCGCCTGGATAAGGTGGTGAGGGACAAGGCCAAGAGCAGCTTCCAGGTCGAAGGGACCTACTTGACTGAGGACTCCATGGGTGACCCCTACAACGGAGAAGAGATCTATTACACGATTCCGGACGAGGACGACGAGAACTTCGTGTACATCGCGGAGGGCGATTTGGACCACGTCCTGGAAGAGTCCGAGGTGATGGAAGCTTTGGCCTCATATCAAGAGGTTCGGCAGCAGCTCAAAGATCAGCGCCTCAATCGAGGATACTTCCCCGGGAAGGGAAAAGGGAAGCCGAACTACCCCGCCAAGGGCAAGGACAAAGGAGGCGGCAAGCGGAAGATCCACATCGAACAGTTGAAGCTTCGCACCAGATGCCGACGTTGCGGCCAGGTGGGACATTGGGAGAAGGAATGTCAAACGAAGCCCAAAGATGACAATCGAGCCTTCTTTGTCCGCATCGACGAGGAGAACACGGCAGCGGCTGAGAGCGGCGCCCACTTTTGGTTTCAGCAAGAAACCTCCGAACGACAGGCCAAAGATGGCACTGGCGTTGTTTTTGACGATGCTGAGCGCTCCGATGTTGGGGCATACATGGAGCGGCAGCCTGGGGCTATCACGTTTTGTGGGATTTCAACACAACCGCATCATGGGGTTGTGGACACTGCGGCTGAGGGTGGTTTGGTAGGAACCGGTCCCCTCAAGAACATCGAGGTCGAGTTGGCACGGCATGCATTGAAGGTTAGATGGATTCCCAAGAAGTCGCAAGCCAAAGGAGTCGGAGGGGCAGCCACGGTGGAGGGCACGGTTCTTATTCCCATCGGGATTGCAGGGGTGAATGGAATCTTAGAGTGCACTGTGGTTCAGGGAGATGTACCCCTTCTTTTACCCGTTCGTATGCTCCGTGCTCTCGAGTCGTTGATCGATTTGAAACGTGGAACTATGACACTTCAGTCACATGGTCGAATTGTGGACCTTCATCAACTACCTAGTGGCCATGTCACGATTGATGTGTTTCAATTTGCATCCGGGAAGTTCGTTGTCCCGGACGACGCTGGCAGTCAAGAGGATTTTGAGACTCGGAAACCTTCATGTTTTGTGGCAGCAATGTCGGCTCAACGGAGCCGTTCGCAATTCGACCCAAAGACCGACGTCATCTCACCAGCTACCCATGTCGGCGCTGTTGGCGAAAGCAAAGCAACTGGTGGGAGTGCAACCGACTCAAGATGCTGTGCCCATGGAAGTTCATCCGAAGGTGTACAACTCCAAGGTACCCATTCGGAACTGGCGAGTCATCATGGACAAGATCGCCGTGATCCTCATCCTCGCAGCAATGCAGGACGCTACAGAAGCCTGGTGCTTGGAGTTGGGATCACAGCGCTTGGGCCCGTCCTCTGCCGACAGCCTGGAGGACTACTATTCGGAGGTGATCCGCACCGCCAAGACCTTGGCGCCTTTGAAGAGCAAAGAGGCCCCCAGGACTGCGATCAGCGCATGCACACATCCCAAGAACCAGCTTCGTGGGGGAGGCAATGGCTCAGCCTCGTACATCGTGTGCCGGCAGTGCCATTCCAGATGGGCCCACAACCAAAAGGCGGCAGACGTCCGCAAGCTGCTGAAGCAAGGCCCCTTGAGCATTACCCAGGGAGTTACTATCCCGACTACTCCATCGGCACCGTCGACTCCTCCGAGGGCAACCATGACTATGCCTACGAGTCCACCGACGGGAACTGGCGCAATGGAGGCTCACGGGATCTACCAACAGTTGATCCCCTACTCTCCGGGAAGTCCAAGCCAGGAGCAGATTGCCCAGCTGCAGGAGAGCCTCAAGAGCCAAATGGAGGGACAGGCAGCGTTCCTGATGCATCAAATGAGGAACGAGCAAGCTGCATCGGTCATCAAGATGTCCGAGATGAACATGACGCAGATGCACCAGTTCAGCGAGGAGATGAAGAAGGCAGCTCAAGCCAGCCGAGAACAAGAACTGCGTCAAGAGAAGCTCCTACAGATGTTGGTGCAGATGAAGGAGGAGCAAGCCAAGGCGGATCCAGCGGGAAGCCTGCGGAACGACTGCAGGTGAAGAAGGAAGAGTCTCCAAGGAAGGGCCGATGGTTCTGGAAATGCATGCAGCGCCAGTGCGACTACTTCGAGTGGGAGATGGAGGAGGTCGACCTGCTCAGCGAGACGACCAAGACTGCGGGCTCCAAGAACCCGCGAAGGTCCAAGAGCCCACGGAGGGATCTGAGATCCAGCGGGCCAATTCCGCCCATGCCGGGAACCCAGGTGCTCACTGCCGTTCCATGCGACAGCTGGACGAGAGTCACGGGCAAGGAATCCGTGATCAATGTCGACCAGGAGGAGGACCTATGAGCTGGACTACTTGCAGTACCCCAAAGGGCATTCGGTGGGCCCGGAAGGCCCAAAAGGGACAGCATCACTTCTTGATGGCTGATGAAGAGTACCTGATCCGGGATCCCGTGACCGGCAATTGGATGGCGAAGAAAGGACTGATCCCAAAGGATTCAGCGGAAGTACAGGTTCGACTGGACTTCACCCGCCGGGGACATCATGAAGACCGGTGGGACGAGCTCAAGACAGCGGGATATTCCCGGAAGGACCGGCAAAAGCTCCAAAGAGCCATGAAGGAGATGGACATCCACTTCGGCAAGGTCAGTGAACTATACAGCCCACCTCGCATCAGCCCTGAGGCAGCAAAGCGAGGCCTGGAGACCGGCACGTGCTTCGACCTCCAGACCGGTTGGGACCTCAGTCGGGAGGAAGACCGGCGCCGAATGTGGAAGACCTTGCGAGAAGAGAAGCCCGACGTGATCATCGTCTGTCCACCCTGTACTGCCTTCAGCCGAATGCAGGCCCTGAACAAGGGTCGAAGAGACGAAAAGAAAGCCCTACAAGTGCTTCACACCGGCCGAGAACACCTTCGACTAGCCGCAGCAGTCATTCGCTGGCAGCTGAAGCAAGGGAGGAGCATCGTGTTCGAGCATCCATCCACGGCAACCTCATCGAAGGAAGATGAACTACAAGAGCTGTTGGTCCGCCAAGACTTGCATCAGATCGACAGCCACATGTGCGCCTTTGGCATGAACGTGACAGGCAATGGTCTGAACTTGAAGCCAACTCGGTGGCTGACAGACATGGAGGAGGTGGCTCAACGCCTCAACCGCCGATGTGATGGCTCACATGAACACGAAGCACTTGAAGGAGGCAACAAAACCAGACTTGCGCAAGTCTACCCTCCGGAACTGTGCCGGCAGCTCGCAAAGGGGATACAAGAACACCTGACGAAGAAGTGCCCTCAGAAGCAATACATCCTGGAGGTGTTCGCAGAAGAGGAGTCCGAGGCGGAAGAGATTGAGGACGACGACAACTCCGGCGAAGCGGAGGAGGAGTATGAGGTGAGCGAGGAAGAGAAGAAGATGATCCTGAAGGTGCATCGGGCAGTGGGCCATCCTCAACGGCCCGAGTTTATCAGGTTCCTGAGAGCAGCCAGGGTGAAAGGAGAGATCATCCGATGGGCCGCCAAGGAATTCAAGTGCGATGTGTGCGAAGCCAAAGCACACCCAAAGGCAGCGCGACCAACTACGCTGCCTCGTTCGTTCCAACCGGGCAGAGTGCTCGGTCTCGACCTCTTCTACATTGCGGCTCCCGGTGGTGGCAGGCTGACTACCCCGGTCCTGAATATGGTCGATTGGGGCACCAACTACCAGATGTGTGAACTGCTGAGCTCAAAAGGTCCAGAGGAGATCTGGGACACCTTCATGTCCACGTGGGCCAGAACATTCGGCCAACCAGAAGTCATTGTTTGTGATGCTGGACGCGAATTCATGGGACATTTCATCCAGCGAGCTACAGCTGAAGGCATCGTGGTGCACCAGATAGCCGCAAAAGCCCCCTGGCAAGCAGGGAAAACGGAACGACATGGAGGCCACTTCAAGGAGCTGCTGGATAAGGCCAGATCTGAGACGGTGGTGCAAGACGAGAGAGACCTTCGCCGCTTGATCATGGAGGTGGAGCAGGCCAAGAATCGGTACTCCAATAGGAGCGGTTTTGCTCCGATTCAGAGGCAGATTGGACAGTGGCCAAGACTTCCAACGGCCATTCTGTCAGACGAAGGAGTGGATCCCATGCTCATCAACGGCATGATGGTGGACGACATCGAGAAGCTTCATGAAATGAGGCGGGTGGCTCACAAAGCCTTTTGTGAGTACAACGCAAGACAGTCATGGAAGAAAGCACTTCGGGCCAGACCAAGAATTTGGACCGACTACAAGCCTGGAGAGTACGTGTTCGTCTACCGAGTCCCAAGACAAAGGAAAAGGAAGCACTCAGCTCCAATCGAGGAGCACTCCAACAAGGCGACTTGGGTAGGTCCTGGAGTCGTCATCATGCCGGATGGCGCGAACCTATGGATCTCGATGCTGGGAGAAGTTTGGAAAGTTGCCCGAGAACAATGCAGACCAGCCACCGACGATGAAAAGACGGGCATTGAGGCAGTGATGAGCGAATGCCAAGAGCTGATAGAAGAATTCAAAAGGGCACCTCACCGATCTGGGTACAAAGACTACACGGACGACCCATGGCCAGATGATGAAGAAGGCCAAAGTCCGGATGAAGAGCCAGGTCGAAGGGTGAGAATCCAGCCAGATCCTGATGAGTTGAGCTATGTCCCCACTGTGGCAGACGAAGAGATTGAGCCAATCCAAGAGGCACAGGTTCGAAGACGATCAATAGCCGAGCCAGAGCAGGAAGAAGCACCAGCCACACCACTATGGAACCCCTATCCAGATGGGGTGCCAGAGACTCCACCTCTGCCAGACCGGGCGGGGATCACAGCTCCCGCTGGTCCGGAGGATGCAAACCACTCCAGAGAGACTTTAGACCGCTCCATCAGCCAGGCCTGGAGATTAGACGGACATCCAGATCAATCATCAGGTCCAATACTTCGCTTGAGGCAACGATACCAAGCGGCAGCCCCCTACTTGACAGAGAAGGAATGGTACTTCATCGGCGACGAGGAGGCCACGGATGCGGAGGAAGAACAGAGACAGGTGGAGGAAGAGCGCAAAGATCGGGCCAGAAATCTCGACCGTCGTCACCACCACAAAGACTACTGGGAGGTGAACCTCAAGGAGGGCACTATGACCCGTCACCATCTGAGGAGGAGGAAAGCCCCATTCGATCCCAGGGTCAGTGGAGATGCTCCATTTCCAATAGAATGTCTAGGACCCGTGCGCAAGACCACCCTCTGCCAGAAGAAGATTTCTGACACCAAGGAAGACGACTGGGTCAAGAAGGAGTTGCGCCCGACAGCATATTGGTGGACTGGTTCAACGACCTTCACCGTTAAGAACCACAAGGAGCTGGAGGCATGGGCTGCGGAAAGGAAAGGTCAAGATGATGTGGACCTAGCTCAAGAAGACGAACAAGGTCGTGAGGAGTGGGCTCAATCAGACCTCTCCGAATGGACAAAGGTCACTTCCAGTGGAGCAGTTGACGTGCTCTCCCTAGAAGAGTCTCGGAAGATAAGGGCTCAGCTCCAACAAGAAGGCAAAGAAGATCGAATTCTCCCCACAAAGATCGCCCGGCGATACAAACCGGCCGAGCAGCCAGGAGAACCACCAATCAAGAAGTCCAGACTCTGCATCAGAGGCGACAAGGATCCCGATGCACTTGAGCTGGAGAGGTTCGCACCCACATTGAACACAGTGAATTTCAACATCCTGCTGCAGATAGCCGCCAACCAGAACATGAAGGCGACGGTGGGAGATCTGAAGAATGCCTTCTGCCAAAGCAGGCCGCTTCTACGGCCTAATGGGCCGCTCTACTTCCAACAGCCAAAAGAAGGGGTGATCGGGCTACACCGTGAACAAATCGTGCGCATCATCAACGGATGCTACGGGTTGGTGGATGCGCCACTCCACTGGCGCAAGAGCCTCACAGAAGACCTGAAGGCCCTCGGCTACGAGTCATCAGCGCTGGATCCGTGCATCTTCAAGCTCTACGATCCGAAACACCGGACGCTTCAAGGAGCGATCGCAGTGGAAGTTGACGACCTCTTCACGGTCGGCCACGAAAGACACCATCAGATGATGAAGGAATTGCAGAGAAAGTACACCTTCGGCAAGTACGTCGTCTTGCAGGACGAGCCCGATGGTGCAGCCTTCAATGGAAGAAGAATCAAGCAAACTAAGGACGGAGGCTTCCTCATCGACATGTGCAAGTTCGTGGAAGAAAGGCTCCAACCAGTCACCCTAGAGAAGGGAAGAAGCGCGCTGAAGAAAGAGCCGGCAACTGAGCGTGAGAAAAGTGAGGCCAGAGCCACATGCGGGGCGTTGAACTGGCTGAGCAAAGAGGGGCGACCAGATGCAGCTGGTCCATCAAGTCTGATGGCATCCAAGCTAAGCCGCCTGACCGTCGAGGACATCAAGCAGCTCAATTCGGTGGTGAAGGACCTCAAGGAACACTCCGCCTTGAGCTTGATGATTCAGCCCCTGAAGAAGATGAAGCTCAGCGTGGTCACGGATGCTTCATACGCCAACAACGGCTTCCACTCTCAAGGTGGCCATTTGGTCATCGCCCATGAAAGCTGGCTGAGGGACGGAGTCGCAGCTCCTACCAACATTTTGTCATGGAGGAGCGCCAAACTGCAGCGGGTTGTGAACAGCACCATGGCTGCCGAGACTCAAAGTCTCTCCAAGGGGCTAGCTGAACTCACCTGGACTATGCTGCTGATGAAAGAGCTCCAGGACGGCCGGCTGAACATCAGAGACTGGCGCCAACAGCTGAAGACCGAAGAGCTCATGGTGATCAGCTCAGAGGCCACGGAAGAGTACCTCAAGGAAAGCCTGGCAGTGGTCGATGCAAAGTCACTGTACGACCACTTGTCACGAGAGACTATCGGTGGCTCGGACAAGCGAACGGCCATCGAGATCCAGATCGTCAGGGACGACCTTCGAAACCTCCAAGGGCAAGTCAAATGGGTTGAACACATGGCCATGATCGCAGACGGCCTGACCAAGGTAGGTGGTTCGAACGTAGCTTTGCGGAAGGTGGTCATGTCTGGCATGTTTAGCATCAAGCCGACAGATGACGCCATGCAGTTGCGAGAGTCCGCCAAGAAGGCAGGCCATAGCACGGCCGAGATCCGAAGGTTCGGGACTCACCACATTTTGGGAGGCTGTGAAACTCGAGACATCGGTCGATCCAAGCTGAGTCCCGAAACCTCGGTTGCCATCCCGGCCCAATCATAGGGGCCGTATCTTACCCCAAAGCCATGCCGACTTTTTGCAGGAAAAGGTTGTGAGGCGGCCGTGCGATCCACGTGTTCTACAGGTTTAGAGGAACAGGGTGAAATGGAGACATCCACAAGAATCAGGCAATAATCCATGGATTTGCACTTTGGAGTGCTGAGTTTCGGGTTGAGTCTGCTGCTGATGGACTGTGGCAAACACTTCTGACCAAATGATTTTTATGTTCAAAAGCACATGTTTCTTAGGTTTTTCTTGGGAAAGTTGGGGACTCCGAGCCCCAAACCTATTCTGTTGAGTCGCCAGTCCATTCCCTTGTCCGTGGTCCATGCCCAAGTCTGGGAGAGCGAATGTTGATCGTCCCTGACCATCTCCCTTTTCTTTGTTTCCTCGCGGCAGGTCTCGACCTTGCTTCCTGCCCTGGAGAGGAAGGTCTTAGCGAGTTTGGCAGCTGGGCTGGCCAAACCCAAAAAGAAGCGCTGAGCACTTTGTCAAATTGCCGGGCATCAATCAAGGTGTGTGTTTGATGAATGTCGTTCTTGCTATGCAAAGGAGCCTTGTGGCTTTAATAAGCTGGTGTGCTTTGTCAAGTCACTTACAGGTTGCACATATTTTCCAGCTGCAGATTAGGTCGGTTCTAATCAAGAGCGAGCGAGACATGGTTGGGTTTTGATGGCCTGAAATCACCGCACTTGCTAGTTGCAGTTCTACTTGCAGCTTGCAGAGCTATGTACCAGGTGCCATCCCTGGCAACGCCCTGCTTTAGTTGTCCCTTTGTTAACAGGCAGCATATTTCCAAAGCACATCCCTTTCAGGTTTGTATATGAGCTTGCTCAGTGCAAGAGTGTAAAGCAAAGTGAGGCATGACATATGGTCTATGGCGTGTATTTTGTCACACACCTACCTGCTCACATTCATTTGTTGATTTGTGGATGTGGCGTGACTTCAGCTTCAATTGCCGCGGCTGGTCGATTTGGACAAACTCATAGAATTAAAAAACATGGAAGACTAATTGCATTTCCCCCCAAGCCAATATGGCTGTGGGTCCAAACCGGGAGCCTTTAAAGCCTTATAGTAGGTTGACCTCCCAGGTTGGTCCATCGGTCGGTCTGGTGCCAGCTCTGTGAGTGACCGAGCTCTCCACGAGCGACCGAGCTCGGCGAGCTCCACGAGCGCAGAAGGACCCCCCACCCTCCCCGGCCGCGCGCGGAAGAACACACTCGGAGCCCACGCCGGACAGGAAGAGGCTGCCGCGAAGCGGTCCCTGCCTGGGTGCGCGGTGATGAAGTTGAAGGGATGGGTGTGGACAAGGTTGCTGCACTATGTTAGAGTTCTGATGACCTGTTTGTTCATAGTAGGCCGTAGACCGAGACTCTTGACGAAAAGGGGTCGATTTGTAAGGAGTTCAGTTTGAAGTATGTAAACCTCCTTTTCGCTTGGGGCTTGTTTGTTTAGACATATTGAAAGCAGTGGCCATTTGTTACTTACATGACATTTTGCTCCATGCTAGCGATCTCATTCCGAAGGACTCTTTATGCGCGAAACATAAAGCAGGACTGCATGCAGGTAGTCGCTTCCGAAGTATGTTATCTTTAAGAGATGGAGCTGGGACACTCACAAAACCTTTAGCAACTCACCGGTCCCTTCTTGTGTCCTTTCTTGCAGTTCACTTAGATCAGCCGTCACGCGAACTGCGAATTCCATCGAGGCGGGCACAGCTGGTGCCTGCATATATGTTCAGAGCCAAGGTTTGTTTTTCCTGAAGGACCGCAAACCTAGCGAGGGAATGAAGCCGGCACTGGTCGCCATCGTGAGCTCGGTATCAGGTTGGTGTAGATCATTTGGGCCCCTCGACAACTCCAAAACGGCCCTCCTATGTTTCTCACTTACACTCACTCACCTGGAATCCAGACATGACCTTTGTTTTGATAGGAAAAGACAATGTTTTGGCTCCAAAACAGGGGTCAATCAGGCTAATGGGAGTTCGAGGTAGGTCGTTGGGGCATGTGGGCTCTAGGCCTCTGGCATCCTGACGAAATCGTCGTCGAACACGCCAGGTCTCATAGGCGGCCCGGCGCCGATGGGCGGATGGGCCTTGGGGAGTAGATTTTGAAGGGACTTTCTGAGCAGAGCAATCCAGACAGAAAAGGCCTTACTTAAGTGACATGGCTGTGAGTCAGAACCTGGAGCCCGTTTCACCCAAGTCTAGGTGAGAGACGGAGCCTTGCAGTCTGTTCTGGTCGTTTTCGCTGGTCAACCAAGGTCCCTCCGTTTGACCCACAGCCACATGTCCAAAACCCAACACCATTCACTCATTAGTATGGAGACATTTTTAGAGATGACAGCCTGGTTAGAGGTCTCAATGTCTACCGGGTTTTCCTGCTATGCTGTCAGCGCTGTGGAAGGATCCCGTGGTTCCGAGCCTCATGCACAGAGCTCCTTCAAGTCTCACCTGGCTCAATCTTCTCATGGGTTGACCCAGCACCGAGACGAAGATAGCAACCCACTTGCAGGGTTGGTAGATGCGGACGTCCAATGTGAGAGTTTGGGGGAGCGGGGGAGACCTTTGTGTATTCTACATTGGAGGTGAGCAGGATAGTTACCATGCAGTTTTAGGTTGAAGGCCTAGGTGGTTCTTGGCCTTCATGGTTTTTGATGGCATAGACAATGATCATGGACTTTCCGTTCGGGGTCACGGAATGCGAGGTGCATTTGGCGAGACGAGCTGGACGTTCGGGCCACTTGGCATCTGAAGATGGTTGGAAGAGGACCCACTCCCATTAATCATGGAAGTGGAGTTCACCACCTCTTGGTAGAGGAAAATGGTCTTCCTCTCGGGGCCAGGATGTCCACTTGCATGACTCTTAAAGAGGTACTGTAAGTCCTTCCGGTTCGGTGTGGTTCCTTTCACCCAGCCTCGCCTCAGCGTTGGATGCTGCTTTTCCTCCAACCTTCTGAACTTCTCCGCCGTCACGCAGCCTCCTCCTTCCACCGAAACAAAGCCGCAACGAACCAAAACCGCCACCTCCACGGACGCCGCTCGCCGGAAGAAACGGACCGCCGCGGAGCTGTCAGGAAGCGCAGCTGGAGAAGATCGCCACGGAGCAGCGGCGCATCGCCGTGGCCTTGGAGCGCATCCAGGCGTGGTGGGACGAGATGCACGGTGGGACTCGGCCGGGCGGAGGAGACAGAGGGGACTCGGGGGGACAGATGGGGTGGGGAGTGGAAGGGAGTTTTCTTATCTGGGGGGATGAGAGGTGAAGCTCTAAATGGATAGAGGATGCGAAAACTACAGGTGAGAAGTAAGTAAGCGTGCGATTTGTAACATGGAATTGCAAGAGATATGTTGAACTTGGGATTTCTGTGGGCTGTGGGCACAGAACTGTGAGCTCACAACAAGTGATGCTGGATGAGAAAAGGATTTAAGGTCTCTTCCCACCACAGATGCTCAATCCGTTCGACGTTCCACAGCAAGCTGGGCAACGAGCTGTGGGTGACCCTCCTCTCCGATTTGTTCATTGCACGAGCAGAAAAACACACAGGTCTGTCCCGCACCTGGTTTCGTCCGAAGACCCATGTTCGGTTTACCTTGAGATTTTCATGTGTTGTTTTTTGCCCACGAAAACATGGACCCTCCACTCCACCCTCCGGAGCGCCTGCAGTTCTTCTTTCTCTCACAGAGCCGCTTGGAAGCGAGGCGGCCCTGGCGGAGCATTCCGCCCAGCACCAGGCCTGGGGATGGAGAGTGAGTGCCCAGAGGCACCCGAACAGACGAAAGCCCCCGAGTCAAAGGTGCAGCTTGGCTTCGCTTTCCTGACACCCCAACCCCAGTTGAGACGGCTAACTGCCACTGGACGCTCGGGACTTGCCACAAGGCTATAAGCTTCAGCTGGCCTGAGATGGCTTGATGGCTTGGCTTCGGTTTCTGTTCGACTGAGTGCCATCCAACTGAGCGACTGGTCGGGCGTCGTCCATTCGTCGGGCCGACGGTTCCGTTCGCCGTGAGGAGGCCAAGGGGCGCCACGGGGAAGCCGAGTCGGTGCTGCGCGAGGCGGTAGAGAGGGAGCCTGAAGCTGGAGAGAAGGGGCAACAAGCGTGGTGGAATAGGTGTTTAATCGTGGTTACTGTAGATTGTTTGATATTGTTGGTTTCTATGCTTTTTGTGAGGTCTTGTGTTTCTTATGCCAAAACATCTCTGGCAAGTCTCTGCTTACCTGTGGTGCCGGTGTTGGAGAGGAGGGAGGGGCTGCAGGCTGAGTAGAAGTTCGAGAATTCCATTTTCCTCTACCAGCAGGTGGTTTTCCACTTCCATGATTGTTTCAAGGAGTGACCATAAATAGGCTTTTGAAGACTGCCTATTCGCATCTCTTGAGGTGCTACAACTCCTTCTTTTTCCTCTGGCACTAGCCGTGTGAGTTGGGCTTGAAATGGGGGTGCCTTTCAAGGTTATCAAGCTCCTTTTCGGCAAGGAACGTCGGCTGGGTAGCGGTGCCAGAGCGCCGCTCAAATTGAACCAGATGTCCTTTGGATTCTGAGCGCATCTTCCCAAATCTCAGTTTGTCCAAACTCCTCCATTTCACTCGTGGGTGGCAGACCGGATGTGGTGCTTGTGGTTTTCGCCTCGGAGCGGTCACCAACCCGATGGGGTGCAGAGATCGGTTGCGCGATGTGCAACGAGCTTTTTGGCTTGGCCAGGGGCAACAAGAGACACCATGAGCTCCACAGGGTGAGAAAAAGAGGAGGTGCTTTTCAAGGGGAGATCATTATTTGTGAAAAAATCCTATCTCTCTCCCTTCTCTCCCTATAATGATGTAACATGTCACAGCAATATGCTACAAGTTCATAGATTTCTTCATCTTCCTGCATTCTTTCCTCCATTCAGAGACTTCTCTTTGTCTCAAACCCGCTGGTTACGAGTGTTTGACTTCGTCTCTGTAGCAAAGGCCCAGATGTCCAACGACCCGTCCATGGCAGCCTGACTGGAGATGGGTTGTGTTGTGAGGGCTCCCCTTTTAATGCCATTCCACTCTGATTTTGCTTCAATTTCAGTTTCTTAAGTGAATGTTTTAACCATCAACCCAGAATTTGGGGCTAATTCCGGTAGCACCAGCGCAAGAAACACCGAGATAGACCAGTCACCCACCACTTTGTTGCCGATTTCACGCTGCGATGGCTTCGATGCGCTGCAATGCGCTTGACGGCGCTGCGCTTGGACCGCGTAGCCTTTGAGGACCCCCTTTTGGTGGCCAAGAGTCTCCAGGCCGTCGCGGTGTGTGCATCCTGCGCGACCGGTATTTCATATTGGGTGCATGTCTGGTGGATAAGAGGATCCCAGATGATCCCAGTGGACTGCAGTTGTTGCGGACATGCACTGACATGCAGCGCCTGCGAAAAAGAGTGCCGCCAGGCGCTCGCGCGGCGCCGGAGTGTGAACCGTGGCGCGTGGCAGGGCCACCTGCAAAGAGCGCTGCAGGTGGTGAAGCACGCGGATGCGCAATGTGCGGCACGGGTGCTGAACGCTTGCTCCAGGTGAGGTTGGCGGATGATGGCGGATGGTGGATGGTGGATGGGGAGAGTGGGGATGCAGGTGAGGTTCGGTATAGTTATGAGTCTGGTGTGGCGGTGCAGGTGGATGGATCACGTGAAGTTCAGTTCGGCAAGCATGAGAATTTGTTGGACCGGGAAACCAGCAAACTACCTTTTGCAGATAGAGGGTTCCTTTTCATTTCTATCAGTCTTCACCGAGGTATATACCAGGGTCTTGACCCACAGCTACTTCACAAAAAGAACCAGCGCTTCGTGCGCAATCACCCGCCACCTCTGCCCGCGGCCGGAGGTCTCCGGTGCAAGATTTGGCTAATGAGGTGGCAGATGCTTACCAGGACGGCCAGACCGCCGAGGTGAGAGATGGGTGTGGGGTTTCTCGACACCCTCCTGGCTGGGCGTGCGCATTCCGGTACGTGTCATTCTCGTGATTGGATCGATCATACCATCCGACTCTTGGAGCAGATGCTCCCCTTTTTCGGCCCATCTCCCGAATCCTCCAGACCTCCGTGACGGTTGGCAAGGCCGCGATTTCTAAGACGAAGACGGTGTCTTTGACGCAGGCAAACTTCAGGTTGCTCATTCTTACCAAGAGAGGTTGAGAGACCAGAACTAGGCCCCTGGTCTGTGGTACATATGGGATGGGCGGCTATACAGTACTCGGGTTTACCCTGTTTTTATCCTCTCTATTCTTAGTGTCTCCAGGACCGTGCCAAGCGTTTGCTGGGGCAGAGCAATGTGCGACAGCTCGCCACCGCGGCCAATGCCATGGCCAGGTGCCGTGACCGGACGGACCGCAACCGGAAAGGAGTCGCTGTCCAGGTGGGCGACTGGTGCTGTTGGGTAAGCCTTGGTGGTTGGTTGGTTTTGTTGATTGGCCCATTTGCTTTTCGTGCTTGTTTGTTGGACCTTGTTCTGTGTGTCCTAAGGAAGCAGCCTGGCTTTGGGACAGGGGGGATGGAGCCAAGATGATCCGAATCTTCAAGATTTTTCGGAGTCATTCTTCTTCTGGGATCCCTGCAACTGAGCAGCGGCAGCTGACATTCCCATGCGGACATGCTTGGATGTAGGCATGTCTCACGCTATACACCCCCAGAAAGCTTTGACATAGCAACCCATGGCTTTGACGTTGACTTTCCTTTCCTCCTAGTTTTAAAGCACACCTGGATCCTGGTGGCCCCTAGTGGCTAAGGGGCTACTGGGATAAATGAAAAGGTTGGGTCAGATCCTCCAAGATGTGATGATAATAATAATGAATGAGAATCAATTTTATAGGGACGATTTCCTCAGGCTCTCATCTACAAGAAGCAAATAAGAAGATAAATATAACATTAATGGGGCTAAGGGCCCGCAAGGGCCCGCAACCAACATGTGCAATTCCTTTCCAACCAGCTGAGTCCTCTCCACGTCCGCCCAGTCAGAGAAACAGACGATCCGCCACTGGCTAGACGCTGATTCCGAATCGGAATTCGTCGATCCGGGGTCACCTGCAGAGCTTCGTCGGGTTTGAAGTCCAAACGATCCGTCGAAGTGGGTGAAAGGGATGACAGCAAGGTGTCAGATCGCCCAAAGTCGCGCCTCAGGATGCTCATCCGGGATGAGGACTACATTCTGCGCCTCTCCAGGGAGTTGCGGATGAAGTTCCAGTCTCTCGGCCGCCGCTCCGCGGGGTTCAAGCTGACGCGGGCGAGGCTTTTGGGACATTGGGTTTTGAATCTGTCGGTGTCAGAGAGGTGTTTTGGGCAAGCAGACCTTTTTCGCATGACTTTACGGCTCCCTGTACTTCCTGAAGATTCCATAAGATTCCACTCAAAGTGGGGCGTTCCTACGATTGATTCTCTAGAAGGAGCGTGACATGTAGACTGTTCATAAAATAGCCCTCCCTTTCCAACATGCTTTCACATCTACCCTACACACGGGGGTTTCATGAATCAACAGTCCACCTAGTCTGTGACCCTCCGAAAGGCCCGGTGTGACACCGCGTCCAGGCCTGTCACAGATCGCTGAGAGCGGTCGCGGCGCAGACCACGGCATCCGAGGAAGTGTAACACCTTCCAGGCCTCGTTGATCGCCAACTCCTACGCGCGGCTCATGGTGGTGGAAAGGCCCTGGGACAGGGTTCACTCGTGGTTGTAGTTGTTGTGGTGGCGGCGTGACAGACAGTTTTCGCTTTTGTGGACTATGGTGTTTGAGTCAAGAGGGCGAAGCACGTTTGATTTGAGGAAGAATGGTAGGAGCATTCACTAACTATATATCACTCCTAGTAATTATCTTAGTACTTAGCCTGTAGTGGATGGTACAAACAACCAGGCAGAGAAGGGGTGTGCCATCGGTCCCCAACCCATTTGGCAGCAACCAGGGTCTCCCTGTTTTGACCACCATTTGGTGGCTTTTACTGCCCCAAAACCCACACGAGAGCAGCGCTTGCGTGCGAGAAGGACGCTCTTCGGCCAGCTTTTACCGGCCTTTGCCGTCGCCAACGGCCAGCACTTCCGGGTCAAGGTGGGGTGGTGGTTTGTGGCGGTGGGTTTGGTCAATTTTCGCGTTCGCGTTCGTGTTGGCGGGGAGGTTTTTTTCTGCATCTGGTCGTTGCAGGTGAAAGAAGCTGCTTTGTGGATCCAGTAGTGAGTGGTTCTAGCTCTAAAAGGCGCAGACCAGTCACGAATCATCCCGGATTGATGCTCAGGACATGAACTACTTTGGACTACATGTGGCTTTTTGATTGGACTATACAGTTTGGATGGTGGTAGGTAGAAGGATTCCTTGTTCCAATACTATGAAGCAGAGTTTTGGCCAGGACTTGGCGCTGGTCATGCACGCCTACGCGAAGGCTGGTACTCCGAGGTTCAACGAGCGGATCCACCAAAGGGATTTCCGAGCGAATGACACCTGGGGCGCTGGCGAAAAAGCAGAGCATACTAACCAAAGGAGAGACTCTTGATAGACGTCAATCCTTCCCAAGTCAGGTTGCTGAAATCCCCATATACATCAGCATTGACAGACTTGTCTCAAGTTTTGAAGACTTGTCTTGACTGCGGGGGGTTAAGTGGACATTGTACACTTTGGGTCCCTGAGTTTTGCAGATCCTCGAAGCAACCGACCGCCCAGCGTCCCAGCGGCCCAGGTCTTTGTGAGTTTGCTCGTCTCCTTCTTTTTGAGTGAAGAAAACAAGCAAAGAAAAACACCATGAATCGGATGTTTCCCCAAGATGTGCCTTCACCACCTCCATCTCTTTCACCAATTCACACCCACGGCGCTTTTGCACGCGCTTTCGGTTAAAGGCGCAGCTGCGCAGCACGGCGGTCTTTGCCGCTGGGACCGCACCGGTCCCCGGGAACGGTCCCGTGGATCGGGAGGAATCGCGGAGAGAAGCCAAGTCTTTCTGGTTAGCTCACCTGCCCAACATGTTGTTCCAAATGACATGCATCCGAAGCTGCCGACTAGGCTTTATATAGGTGTTTTACTGGAGTCAGTCGGAAATGAGCAGTGAAGCGAGGGCACCCTTCAATCTCCGGCTGTTCAACCGCGCACACACTAGTCATGCAGACAAGTGCAATGACTGCAATGGGCCCTACTTTGTGTGTATGAACACGTCAACTGCTACTGTTGAACGATTCTAAAAGGCACACGCACTGGAAACCAGGAAGTCTGCAGGGTGGGAGGGTGGGTGACCCACCGGTGAGGCCGTTTCCGCCCATCTCACCCCAGCGAGGATGCCTTGCGGCACCGGTGTCGTGAGCAGACGGAACACATGGACTGCCAGGCGGGGGAAGCCGGAACGCACCCGGTGGGGCGGGTCTTGGGAGTGGAAACCGGTGGGAACCACCCGGGTGATCACTTGAGTTCCACCTGTGGTTGTGAAGAAGGCCGCGATCCATTTGGTGTTCCATAGAAGACTCGCGGGGTCGCCCAACGGTTACCCAGAACCAATTTCACGCAGGGGATCGATCGGTGCTTCGGCAGCGCTTCGGCTGTTTTGGACGCGACATGGTAGGAGTTGATCCGTCGTTTGCTGGCACAGCTGTGGCACTTCATTGTTCATTGGATATCTAGGAATATAACAGGTCCAAGCTATTTCATTACATCAGTGGAAGGAGCGCCGAATCCGAAAGCGGGACCAGCCATTTAGGGATCTTCCGAGATCTGACGATTTGAGAATTTCTTCTATCAGCCATCCACCACCTCAGATACCTGCTAAATATTCCCAGCTACTGTTCTTCGAAGCCAACACACCGGAGTTCGTGTGGTGTCCTTCTATCAGCTGCATGCTCAAATACACCAGACGGACATGGTAAGTTTGCTCTTATGTATCCTAACTCAGCTGAGCTCTGAGCTCCTTTTTCCATACCAGCTCCCGCTCCCTCTCGCCCACCTCCCCCAGGCACTCAGCGTGATCGCCGCGGCGCATGCGAAGCTGCTGATCTCGGACGAGCCGCTCTTCCAGGCGCCGCGGTTGGTCGGTGTGCGGTCAGCGACGCAGGGAAGGACTGGAGTTCCAGAGATCGGAGGCGGACTGGGCCTAGCTGGAACCCGGACACGACCTGTGTTTTGATAGGACGTTTGGCCCATCTTTTTGGGTGGTTGGTGGTCCAAGATAGAGGTCATTCAGGTTCTAGAGGTAGGTATAAGCCGTGAAGGAGCTGGTCGTCTGAATTGCATGGTGTGTCTTTGAAACAGGGGACTCTCCAGATACCATCTGGGAAATTCGTTGACAAACCTCTGGACAGTCGGGTGATTCATCTTTGTAAGATGAACCCGCATCAACCTCAAAAGAACACCTCCATGTATCATGTAGGTATGCCGTGCATCTCTATATCTCTAGCCCTTTCAAGTGCCCTGAAACAGGTGCTCTTGTGTCATTTTGTGTCAACCCCTTAGTGGAACCAGCACCGCATTGGAGCGGCTCTCCTTTTTCGTGGAATTTCCCGTCCCGTAGACGCGGCGACGTCAGGCGCTGGCGTGGCGCTTGCGCTCCTGTGCTCGAACGTGCACCTTCCAGGTAAACGGGCTGAGTGGAGGAACGTGACACCTTCACCATCTGGTGACGTGCCAGGATGCCCCGTTGAACAGCGCAGCTGCAAAAACCACTCCAGCTCAGCATATTCTTTTGGATCCGATACACGTGGAAAACCCGAAGAATGCCAGAGATTCTTTAGGATCTTCTCCACTCACCGCCCCTTGCGCCCCTTGGGTAGGCTGTGTCCAATCTGGCAAACGCCTACGCCAAATTTGGCTTCGAGCGGCCGCCCATGGCACCGGAGGCGGCACTGGGCCGGGGCCAGTCCCAATTCGTCCAGATTAGGGTGTTCTTTCATGTCATCTCGCTCAAACCAAACCCAGAGGAACACCTTTTGGAGTCCGTTTTCTCTTTTCCCAAGAGCTTCTGTCCTTCTCTTCTTAGGAAGAAGAACCAGTTCACCAGGAATTGCTCGGAACTTGAAGAAGCCCACTTTGGAGGTTCCAGATGTGACACTCCCGACTGGTGCTCCATGCTTCAGCTCCACCGCCCAGGGCAGCACGCCCATGTTTGCATCGTCGTCCGGGCCGCGCGGACCGCGACCTCCACGCAGCACGGTGGGCGTGACGGAGGCAGTCTTCGACCTGGTGATGGAAGAGCTCCCAAGGCGAGGGATGAACGGGTGTTCAGTGTGTTGTTCTAGTAGTGCATGGTTTGAAAAACAGGGGAAGCACCCGGCCAGCAAGGGAAACAGCCGCTAAAAGCCCGAGATCGACATGGCCGCAACTGGCAAGACTTCAGGAGTCAACTCTGTTTCATTCGCTTATCTCAGAAAGCAAACACAGTGACTTCACCAGGTTGAGGTTGAGAGCCGGCGGATCCAAACAGAACTGTTAGCGCATGGACTTTGAGGTACACGTGATCCCCAAATAGATAGTGGCACGGTCCCCACGATCTTTGGACGTCGGTGAGAGGATTTGGGTGCGGCCCCAACTCCCGGACGGGGCGCCGGGAATCACGTCGACTCCCGCAAGCAAGGCTCGTGAACGATTCGAATGCCCAAAGCATTGTGCTCTTGAGCCATGCAGCCGCACGTGCAGGCGGCAATGTGGAAGCAAAAGTGGTTGTGGGACAGAAATAGGGCTAAGGAACTTGAGGGAGAAACATAGCCAGCTTCAAAAACCATCAGTCAAGAAGAGAGAGCAGAGGGCTCCATTTCTTTTGGGGTTCTTGATCTTTGCTCCGTGCATGTTTACGGCAGTGGCCAAGTATATAGCTCATGCTTTGCCACCAAGTCCAAGTCTTCAAGTTGTTGGGTGAAACAGACTGCAGACAGGCCCTGAATCGGAGGGGTGGGTGAATCAGACTGCTGAAACACTGAGGTTTGGAGTAGGGAGACAGACCACAGGCTGCTCGGTCATATCAGGCGACTGAAACGCCTCTGGATCGATATCTGCTTTTGGGTCCAAATTGATCGACCTGCCTTCAATACTTGCCGTCCAACACACCTTCAAAGTTCCAAGAGAGGTCGAGAGACCAGAACTAGGACCCTGGTCTGTGGTACATATGGGATGGGCGAAAAAGGGCTGTTCAACCTCTCTTGATTGCTTGGACCATATGTTTTGACCCATGGCCATCCTCCCGCATCCCCACGATAGCGAATCCTTGTGTTCTCTGATAGCTCACCTACTGACCCTCCACTGCCGGGCACACTGACCCTCCACACCCACCACTCCCCGGAACGCCCACCCGAAAACGCCCCCCCAAGCGTGCGAGGCCAACACCGTCGCTGGGGTCCGCAGCTGGCGGAGCGCCTGGCGCCCTTGGCACAGCGCGAGATGGGCTCCTGTGATGGAGCGCAGCGGCCTGGAGAGACCGACACCGCGGTGTGGGGTGAAACCGGAAGACGTGACGGGGGCGGCGTGACCAGGAGGCCAAAGCTGGTTCGACTGAGTGGGAAAAGCAGGAAGAGTTGGTCTAAAGTTTAAAGGAAAGGAAAGGTGAGTCCCAGATTCAGATTCTTGCCTGACTCGACATGTCTAACACCTTGATGATTTGGGAGACGGGCAGTGAGGTCCGCGAATGGCACTTGTCACATCTTACCACAGTCGTGAAAAGCAGTCACCATTTGACGGTTTCAACGGTCCATCACCCGTCCGACCGGTCTCACGGTCTAAAACGCGTTTTTTTCGGTCAATGCAGCTGAGCGGCCCTTTTTTCTTCGCGTGACACATCAAAAAACGCCTTCAATGAAAACAGGTTTGGCTGTTTACCGGTTTGCCCCCTTCCATCAATCCGCGTGGTCCGCGTGGTCCGCGTGGGAAATAAGGAGAGGGAATGACGGGAAAGAAGCAGCTGTGCATCCTGATTCATGAATCTGCTGCAAAGACCACTCTTGGTTCATTCTCATTATAACCGACTTTTCACATTGAACTCTTCTAAAAATAGCTTGGACAGGGACATAATCCGTTATTGAGTCCTGAATCGCTTGGACAGGGACATGAATCCGCTTTGAGCTGTCTGAATGGGTGTGCGACATGTCTCCCTGAGGTTAGGCATGATGGCGGTGGCTTTTGCCGAGCTTTGGCCTCTGGAAGACTCCTCGAAGGCGTGGCGCGCTCCGGCTTCGGGGTGGACGACCCAGTGAGGGGTGGTCGCTCCGACCAATGAGGACCACTATCCTAGGCTATATAGATATTTCGCCCGTCGTCCAAGTCATTTGTCTTCGGAGACGTTCCGTGACGGAGGTTCCACTGGACCTGGACCTGGATGAGGGACCTAAGCAATCTGTACTGGGGGATCCTTCCGCTAAGCACCAGTACCAGTTAGATTGTAGCTTAGTGGCCATTTGCCAGGCCAACCACGATGACTATCTAGAGCTGTTCATGGATGGACGCCTTCATGGAAGCGTTTGATGTAGACTCTGATCGCGACCGTGGGGGGGGTCGACCACAAGACATGCGAAGACGGCATGACTGGTCGCACCGGTGGAAAATAGGAATGGTTGTGATTGACACTCTATAATTTGGTTTGTTCCGATTTGACAGCTTGAACACACACACACACACATATATGTATATATATAATATACATAATACTGTAGATATGTTTATCTGTCAGGTGTCATATCTACATGATACAGGTGTACCAATATTTTTTGTTGGAGCGATCACACATCGTCACTTCATCACTCAACAAGTTCATCCAACACCATGGCTATTGCTAAAAATAGCAGGTATCACAAACCACCCCTAAGGCCCCAGTCAAGGAGAACTGGACCATGCCACCTTCGTGGTTCGCTTGCCGTGTACCGGGCGAGGGCTTCTGGCTGGCGTTGCTCGAGGCCGCCGCGGCAGCTCCACTGGGTGCCTCCGTGGGGGAGCTTGGAGGGCCAAGAGGGTCCAACTGAACGAGTCTATTTGGAAGTCATTTTTTGGAATAGGACCACCCCCAATCAATGGTTTTTATAGTAGTCTTGGTTTGCTTTTTTTGAACAATTTGTTGAAGATGTTTTTGAAGCTTTTGGGAAGCAAAGACCAGGTGAAGGAAGCAGTTTGGCATCTATTCACGAGATGTTGGTCTCTACATGTTTCTATGATTTGTCCTTGGGACACCCTCTGACCCTTAGTCACTCCTGGCCATTGACAAGGCAATGGACATTTGTCAACGATCCATCTAATGCCTTGTAGATGGAACTTGCAGACTGGAGGTATCAGTTATAGTTTTCATTTAACAACAGGGTTTGAGAGGTTCATTCTCTTTGAGTTGTTGCCAGATGCATTCGATTGTGTCGGTGTCATTGTCCATGACTTTTGCAGAATTTACACCCGTGGTTTGGGGGTGGGGCCATCCTACTCTGGGGGTGGACGATAGAAATTGGAGATGTGTAGAGACAGGCGTCGGGTGATGATTTCTACTCTGGGCATGATAATCTCTGCATTCCGGCAAAATGGTGTATTCTTCTCTAGCTTTGGAATTAAGCTAAGCGAAGAAACTCCAAGTTCAATGCGAACAACACAGCTCTCAAGCTCTTTATCTTCAGCCCCCATCCATTCCCAACCAAGCCAACCGAACCGAACCCTCTTCCCGTCGCTCTACTGCCCCAGGACGCCGCCAACTGCGGCGTGGCCTTTGCCGCCGTCCAGCTGCCGGCAGAGCAGCTGGCGCGGCTGGAGCTGTGCCGCTTCAGCGAGGCCAGCGGGGGCGGATGTTACTAGTAGCTTTTTGTTTTCTTTTGCTCATTCGTTGACTTGGTAGGGATGGGTGTTTTCATGATTTTGTTCGTTTTTTTGGGCGGGCGACATGAGTTGGGTAGACAACGAAAGTTGTTTTGTTTCTTCTTTCTGTGGTGGTGTGTTGGGGGCTACTGATTCGACTGGTATCTTGGGTAGGCCTCTATTCAGACTCACAAGTCAGTCTCTTAACTTCCCAAACCTTCGCCTTTTGCAGAATCTGCATATGCGGGATGTATATACCGGGAATATTGTCGTATGATTTTTCTAGATCTGGATCTCCAAATTCGCCATATAGATCCAAATAGTTTGTTTCTTTTCCACCATCTATCAATCATTTCAATTGGATGGGTTCAGTTCTTAACCACACACTCAGGTTCCTTTAGTTTCCATAGTTCCCCTACTTCAGGACTTGACGGATTTGTGTCTCCCTTCCATCTCTGACGGGTTTGTGGCCAAATCTACTGAGCCTATCCGCTTGAACTTCCGCCTTGAACCTCCTCTCCACGACTCGAGGACAGCGCCGCAGGCGGCCTCTCGCCGCAGTGCGCCTGCGCTCTGACGCTGGCGCACGCCTACGGCGGCCTCTGGGCACCACAGTTCCTCCAGGCCCGACCTTGAGTGGGGTCTGGACGGGCTCTGGACTGGCTCTGGAGGGGTTTGGAGGAGCTCTGGAGGGGGGTAGAAAGGCTTTGCCCATATCCGTTTGCATAACCTTTGCAACTTCCTCGATGCTTTTCTCATGTTTCTTTTTCACCAAGTCTCGGCCACCATGATGCTAATGGCAATTACACAAAATAGTGTAGCAGCCTTGTGTTGAATGAAGGAACCTCCACGGGACCATTGAAGACCACATAGCCTACCAACATAAAGATGATCAACACAAGCCAGAAGAAAGAGGAACATACAAAACAAACAGACACGTTTCGGACTATGAGATAGCAACAGAGAGCAGGTAAGCAAAAGCAAACACGCAGAGGAAAGGCAAAGCAAAAGAAACATGGAAGCAACAGGAAAGTAGGATAAATACGCACCAAACAGTGTCAGCAATATTTTTTGGGCGGAACCTCCTTGAATTCCAGTGTTAGTGGGAACGGCTGCATGTATACTTGTCTATAGCCTTCAGCTGCTTGGGAACTGCGCGTAAACAATACATGCTTGAAAGCACTAGTTCCTGATGCCCGTGTCACATGTGCAAAAACGATGGGATATCGGATATATGATATATGTCACTGTCATGAGAAAATCCGAAGGTGATATCACATGTCAAACGCTGTATCACTGTTGCATTCATAGCCACACGAAAACATACCCAGACAAGGCGGTGGAGAGAGAAAAAGAGGAGGACACAGGGTTTGCAACCGTGGCACGAGGACAGCAGCAGGACGAGACTGGGAGGACGCGGCTCGCAAACATGGCCACCAGGGGGCAGGAGGAGGACACCAGGAGGATCGACAGCACCAGAGGACGACAGCAGCAGGAGGACAGCCGGAGGATAAGAAGAGGACAGCAAGAGGACAACACCGGAACACAAGGTTCAGGGGCCGCGGGCCAGAGACTGTGGCCAACTTCTTTTGTCCTTTTCTCCTAAGAGAGAACCCCCAACAGTTAACTGTTTAGGGAAAAAGGACAAGAAGTTGACAAGGCGAGGACAAGAGGAGGAGAAGAGAATGACAAGAAGAGGACAAGAGGAGGACGAGGATGACAAGAGGAGGACAAGAGGAGGGCAAGAGAAGGACAAGGGGAGGATAAGAGGAGGACACAGGGTTGGCCAGCGCGGCCAAAGGACAACAGGAGGACAAGAGGAGGACACAGGGTTGGCCAGCGCGGCCAAAGGACAACAGTCCGGACACAGACATCAGGGGTGCGGTGAGCCAGTGAACAGTAAACTGTTTGTGGAATGGGAGATATCAAGGGCCTGCCTGGGTAGCTGATAGAAGGGAATAAGGAGTTGACACTCGACAGGAAATAAGCGAATCACCGAAGCCGTGCAAGCAAGATCGAATGCGCAGACCAGCGTCATCAGAATGGTCATTAGACGTTCAACCGGTATCATCTAACAGTCTCAGGTTGCAAGGCGGCCGACGCAATAACACAATTGGCAGTCGAAGCATGCTCTTTCGATAACCCAGCCACAACGCCATGGCTGCTCGCCAGACGGGCTTGGAATACAGCGTGGTGGACGCTGCTTGGCCGCTGATGAGTGGTATCGGTTACCCGCCATTGCCAACCTAGGTTTGCCCTAGCTAGGGGCCTTCGAAGTTCGCGGTATTCTGGAATGCTGCGAATAGCATGTGTTCCTGAGGGGCGAAGACCGGCTTTTGTTGGCTCGCACAGTGTCCAACAAGGCGCTGTGGCTCAGTGTGGCACTTTGTAGCCACAAAAAGGGTCTGCGAGCGACCTTTAGCTACGCCATGAGTGGCGAGGTCATTGCGCCCATCTACGTGTCAGGATGCACTGGCGTGATTCAGGTTCGCAACTCTTTCAGATTGGCCGGCCGTCTTCAGGAAGAATTTGGCTTCCTCACAGAACCAGCCAATGGTTTTGCTGGTGGGTCAGAGGCTGCTTCCTATGGGTGCCGGCAGTTCCCGAAGGCACAGCGTCGGTTATACTGTAAAACCGACGTGAAGCGGCAAGCTTTCGAGCAGCAGCTTGAGGCCCTGTACAGGGCGCGTCCGCAATTTTGAAGATATCAACTTGAACAGTGAGTGGGAAAAAGAAACGCAGCGGGGCGCGCTTGCGTGTTCTCGTCGATAGTTCAGGGCCAACATAAAGATGCAGATGTAATAACGCTGCAGACATTGTCACTATGCGAAGGCTACAGCAGAACACCCTCGAAACTTTGTAGCTGAAAACAATGCTTCACTACGTGGCTTGTTTGTTTCCGTGTGTTGGAGCATTGAGGCCTAGGGGTTTGCGCGCAGGGTTTGCGCAGGGTTTGGCTGGGCGCATTTTTCACATGTCAAGCTTGGAGCAACAACTTGATTTGCAAACGAAAATCCGCTCGATCATGAGACTCTTGAGCCGAATTTGTTTCGATAACTTTGTACCTGCAACTCTACCCTGCGACCTACTACTCCGTTGACACATGGGACGCGGTGAAGAGGAGAAGAAGACGAAGCAAGCGAAGCCGGCAGCGGAGAAGAAGTAGCCCACGAAGAAGGGAGCGATCCCAAAGTACACGCGTTTTGCCAAGCCGTCTTTGGCGCCGTGCCTCGACGAAGATGGTGCTCCCTTGTGGCTGGGTCTTGGTGACAAAGAGGGCTTGGAGGAGTTGCTCGCGCTGAGCAACATCATGGCCAGCCGCTTGCCTATAAACTCGGAGACAGATCGTAAAATTTCCCACGCTCGACACGGCTTGTGGCTTCTTCTACTCATTTTTGAGCCCTTCATAAGAGGCCCATGTTGAGGATGATTGCAAAATAGATGCGGAAGCCACAGGCCGTTTTTGAGTAGGAGAATTACCGTCTCCCGGGCCGTCCATTTTGCAGGCCGTTTAAGAGGGGATTGCGCTACAAAGTGTGTAGCGGACTTGTGTTGAAGAAGCCCCCCCTAAACTACTGAAGAACATTTACCCCGCAAAGATATACATATACGCTTAAGAGGGATCAACGCAAGGCAGCTACACACAAGAAAGGCCAGGAGAAGGTAAGGGAAACAAAGAAAAATACTCTTGCAATTCTTTCGTTTGATTGGTCTCTGTTTGTCTTGTCTTTCTCATCAGAAACAATGAGAAAGGATTGCAGCTTTTGACTTCAAGTGCGGCCCGCCTGCTCGTTCACTTACTTCACCTTTTTCGGTATAGACGCCAGTTCTAAGTTGTGTTCAATAGTTCTAGACATCTTCGCTCGGTTCGGCTTCTCTTCCTTGGGCTGTGGCAACGATGGACATGCGCGGCGGCTACTGCAACGCTGGCGTCCCCTTTGTCTTTCCGAGGTTTGTGGCCGGTACGCCCGGTTCGCTTTGCCACTCTTCGGCCCGCGATGTCCAAGACCCAGGCTTCATCCATAGGAGTGAACATCTCTCATCGTTACTGTCGAGGCGAGACCTGTCTCATCAATGCGGCGTACGGCCGACGCGATCTCTCTTAAGGGTTGCTTCTTCTTGGCTGTTGCCTGGAGGCCAATGAGGACGATGAGATCTTTTATCTCACGCAGGTCAAGTACGAGCAGACATCAGTGCCGCCGTCTGGAAGTTCGGCCTCATGATGTGTATTGCAATGCCCACTTGCCTCTGCGCGTGCGTAGGTAGATAGGGGTGAAGTCTGGAGGGGTTTGAAAGTGGTCATCAGGTCCTTTTGTTCAGTATGCATAAGATAGAGTCACTGATCGAATCAGTTTCATCGAGCAGGTCTGCCCGGACAAAATCCACCTTGCAGTGTATCACCAGTGTGAAGTGGGACCCGTGGCACCCCAGGCGTTGGAAAACCAAGTGCCTGAGCTCTTGTGGCAGGCTACTGATAGCCGCCTGGCCGGTGTTAGGGAGGGAGCGAACAACCAGCCATGCCTGCTTCACTACAAGGTTTTCCCCAGGTCTTTAGTCCTGCTTTGAGGTGGTGTGTGGGTATTGCAGGGCTCTTGTCTTCTGGACTATTTACACCAAATGCGCTTCGCACGGACCCATGTTTGGCGTCCACGAAGGGTCGTCGTCTATTCCGTCCACGGTGGTCTGGAAAGTATGTTGTCACCTGTGCTTGTTGAATAAGTGGGCAACCGCCTGGGAAAACCCCTGACTGAAGCAACGCTATTTGAGTTGTGGGTTGTCTTCTCTCTTGCTGAACCATTTGACTCTGAGCTTGATTGACGGCAAAACCGTGAACCGGCGGTGAAGGCTTCCCGTGGAACGACGGAACCTAACAACTAATTTGCACCAAGTTGGGTTCCTCAAGCAAAGAACCTTGTACCCCGAAACTGGTTGGGTTCCCCCAACCTGAAAACTTCCTGGAAATTTGAAAATACTGGTTCGTACCAGGAGTTCCAAATTCGTTCTAGTAGTTCTGCACTGCCATGTTATGAAAGTACTTCGAGGTTGTAAAGCTGCCCCAACCGCACGCCCCAGGCGTGGCCAGCCGCTGGGCGCTCAGCTTCGTTTTGGCGGGGCAGCGAGCGCTGCCCTTGGAGCTTCGATCTGCGGTGCGGCAGCAGGTCTTGCGCCAGGCGCGTGGAACGTCCGCGGTTGGAGGGTTGGAGCGGTATTTTCAGGTGGCCCGTGGCACGTGCGGCGGTGGGGTGGGCTTTCTGGTGCAAGGGAGGATTGCTTTGTGGTGCAAGGGATGAGAATTATGTTATGAATGGGGATGGGAGTTATGTTTCTGGTGCTCCGCTTGTCAAGTGAATGGATGTGGATGATAGGAAGATGTGGGAGTGGGAAAACAAAGTCACCTGTTGGTCAATGGAAAATCCAAAACATGGGATATTCAATAGTTTGCAGGGCAACTAGACCCAAACAACACGGTGCATTATCAGCCGTGGGCCAACTACTCAAAAGAGCGTTGGTTCGGGTCACACAGGTGTTGTCTATGTCAAAATGACCCACAGCCAACTTAGCCAATTTTTGGCAAGGGAGCTGTAAATGGCCACAAGTGTGGCCGCAGCGCAGTAGAAGCAGGGTCCGACACCAAAAAAGGTACCTGTGAATTTCAAGATCAAAGGATTTTGGATGAGCAAGTTCCGAGCTGCTGACAGCCAGTATGTTTGGAAGCAACAAGAGGTGCTTGCATGGAAAGGCAGTGAGTCAGTGCGGCCCACCAAAACGAGAGCGTGCAAGATTTTACTGTAGCTGTTTAGATTGCCCTTCACAAAGATTTTACTTTTGGAAGGCCCCTATTGAACGCAATGGTTGTGACTCGGTGCAGTGTACATCTCATAAAGGTATCAGCCTGGTGAACATCCCAAAGTGAACAGATGAACTGTGATTTTGTCTCAGGCGAAGGCTTCGGAGAAGGAGGAGAGGGGCTCAATGGTGCTGATTGACATGGGTGTTGGTCAAGATCTAACTCGTGCCGTCGAATCTGCAAGACAGGGAGCGTTTGACCGCAAGTACAGGTCTAAAATTTTGTTAAGCTGGGTCTGGACTTGCAGGGGGCCACCGGCAGCCACGGATTTGATCTTCATGGCAGATGGTCGGGTGTGCGATTGATCGCAAAATCCTGGGTATCGATGTGAGGGTGGCACTGGTGGGTAGCAGGGGACGACAGCATCCAGACACTTTCTTGGACGAGCAAAACAGCAAGAAAGACGATGTTTGCTGGAAAGATTATCTTTCCTGGGCTTAGCTTGATTAGTTCTAGAGACTGTGACACGCAAGTCTCATCTCATTTCATCTCGGGCAACAAGTACGCGGCTGTCTCAAAGTCAGCTCAACCAACGGTAAGAGCAGTAAAAGCCACTTGTCTCCAAATCAGCTCCCATCCAGCCCCCTCCAGAACGGTCTTCCCATTTTCTCCAAAACGGTTCTCGTGTGAGGAGCTGGACGACGCCTCCCTGATCGCAGCATGTGAGCCCAGGGGGCTCTCAGACGCGAAAGTTTCTGTAGTGCAGCACTTTTGGATTTTGGATAGAATGGGGGAAATGAAACACATCACAAGAAAAACACAAGAAACGAAACGGCACAAAACGGTGCAAAATGCCACCGAAGCGGCGCAATTTGTTTGCGCACTTTTTTGTTGCACTACTGAAGGTCCAAAGTGGCAGGCAAAACCATGAAGCGGCATTTTTTCAGAACATGATTAACACTACATCAAGGGACAGAAATTAGTTGAGTTTCACAAGCCGACAACAATCTTACATACCCGGGTGTCTTAGGTATTGAAGATCAACCAGTGGAACACCTCGAATGGCAAGTGATGTTTGTAGGGAGAACATCCGGGTCAGCTCTGTTGGTCCAAAACCAGCCCTGAGTGGAAGCCGCTTGCCTAACGCTGCAGGATCATGGTCCTATCATGAAAAGCTGCATCGCTCCTTCCGGCCAAGAAGGTGAAAACAGAAGACTATCCTCCTTGTCTCGTCTGCCAGGTCAGGGTGCTGCTGCCCTCTTGATGCCTGAAGTGACTGTGATTGAAAGCAGCTTGGTGAAGGATTTCAGGATGACCTGCACATCAAACACTGCACTGATTGAGGGCATTGGGAAGAATTTCCTTCCTAATTTTGGAACCATAAGTTGACCATCTTTGAACCCAAAGGCTGAAAATGCTATTGGAAAAAACACACCCCCAGCCAGCTGAGTCTCCACGGCGTGATACCAGGTGACCAGCCAGGCATGCAGCAGATCGCCTGGTGGGAGGCGCGATCAACCTGCGAAGGAACATGGTCTGTCTGACTATGACGTCTTTGAGGGCCGGGCAGGGCTGACGTGATGATTGGAGACAAAGACAGGCTCAAGGTGCTTGAGGGCAGGGCTGACCTTTCTCAAATGGTTTTCTGCCGTGGGAGCCTCGTCTCTCCACTCTTGCACAACATGAAGTACAACAAAAAGTACATACTTTTGTATACCCTGACGAATGATGCACAGAACCCACCACCGAAGCTACAGGGAATCTCCCACCAGACATTCCGCTTATTTGGAGCGCCGGCTCGGGTCACAAGTGGGTCTCCCAAGACTCGCAAGCCCTGGTGACATCTACTCATATGATCAGGCCCTTCTGAAACAAGGCAATGGCCTGCATATGAGTGAGTAGATACTGTTGATGGACAGAATCCTTCTGGCGCCACAAAGGGTGGGCACCGGTTTTCTGGCTAACAACCGTATCACTCGCCCGGTGAACCTCCGCCCTTCTCTGCCAGATCCTGCGCCCGCCTCCGTGCGCTCCACGCCTGGCTGCGGCATGCGTCCGCGACGAAGACGCCGAAGAGCTCCGCGCGGCGGCGCAGCGGCTCGGGGAAGCGCTGCGGAGGCGGCGGGCGAGGCTGGGGAGTGCCTTGGCTGCGTCAAAGGATGTGAGGTGGTGTGAGGTGGGAGGAGGTGGGAGGACCCTGGGAGGAGGTGGGAGGTGGGAGATGAGATGTGATCTACTTGGATTGGTTGGGGATATGAGGCGGAGCATTGGTTGGTTGACGACTTGGTTGGCCGGACGACTCCTCGACTCCCAAGGCCTCCTGCTGCGCCTCGCGGCGCCCCGCACGACTCGCGCGGGGGCGCCGCTGAGTCCCGCGAGGCGGGGTTGGGTGCCCGGTGGTGCCGCAGTGGTGGGCAGTGGTGGACCGGTTCGATGTGGTGAGGTGCTGGGACGAGTTGGATTTTAGGCCAGGAGCCCCGTTCGTAGCGTCCTTAGGTGCCTCTCCAGATTCTCCAGATTCGGCAGCTAAAGCTTGGCTTGGCTTGGGAGGCGATGTTCAGATCAATGGTCAGCAGCCTTCTGTCAAGACCGAAGTCAATGGAACTTGATGCTGGTCAGTGTAGTTCAGAGCTGCGCCTGACACCCCCAGGTTTGCTGGGCTCTCGTCGCTGCTTCTGCCAAGCGTCAAGCAGACTGCGACTGAGGCGGGCGCCGAACCGGCACCGAGTTTGCTTTGCCTCTGAGGATGGGGCCACCTGACAGGACGGTTTCACCAGTTTGTTCGCTGGTACTGCTAGCTTGGTGGATATGTTGGTGGGTAGTGTTCTCCTACTTTTAAGAAACAGTCAGGACACTGCAGAAGTTTGGACATTTGGGGGAGATTGGGAGCAAGTGAACCCAACAGAGCAGCTTCATATCTTCTCTCATCATTTGCATTCATTTACCACCTTCACTCATGAATCAATCGACCCTCCTCCCGCGGCATGCACATTCACCAGCAACATCAAACTTTCAATGTCCTCGTCCTCGTTTGTGCCCTCCCTGTTTAACACCCCGCCTCCTCCTCCTGCCTGGCACTGTGTAGCACAGCGATATCACAGGGGTCATGTATCGTTTACATCGTGTGCCACACACCACATGCATTCACCGCATGAAGACCCACAGCATGAAGACGCGTCCATGCCGTCTCGCACCGTTTTACGGTCGCCGTCCCACGCGGCGACCGTCGGCGACCGGGGCCGTCCACGGCCCCCGAGGCACCCGCCAGGACCTTGGAGGCGCGGAAGCGATTGCGCCGCTGGCTGAAGCGCAGCTTCTTGCGGCCTCAGGAGATGGGCCATGACTTGGCCAGGGGCCTCAGTGGCCGAAACGTGGGATGCTTCGATGACTTGGGGGTGCGCGTGACAAGAGACGGGTGGAAGCAGAGTCGATTCGGGTGAGGAGATCTATGACTGATGGGGGTAGTCTTGATGTTCTGACTTTTGGGGTGCGAACAGCACCGACCCGGGTCGCCTGGCAGAGTGGGGTGCTCCACTTGAGCTGAGGTGGTGGTCCTGTTGGTGCCTGAGGAGGCTGGGAGCGAAGGTTGCTGCGAGTTTTCGAGCTGCAAATGCAGCTCCCTGCAGCAAAGTCACCAGCGGCCTGAGGGTTGGCAGCCATGGGGAGTCAAGTTGCACCCTTGTCCAAGACTGAAGTTCATCATGTTCATATCACACACCGGACTGTGTGTCTGTGTGTATCACAGTGTGACCATCCAAAGTGGACATTTGGCACTAAGACTTCCGTGCCACCAGACCCAACCCCGGTTTTCCTCCAGGTTCATGTAGTCTTCATCCTGGATGACCAAACCACCTTCATGTACCCGGGCGAGCCCTGCGCCGCAGGCGGGAGCAGGTGAGGGCGCTTTCAAGCGCCCCTTTTTCTGCCAAAGCCAAGAAGCGTTGAACTTTAAAGTTTGGGCAGATGCCTCTGAATGCAACAAGATACATTGCAAAATATTGCGAATGCTTCAATGGCTCAAGCTTGGTTGGCAAGTCTTTACTCTTTCTTTCCACCCGCAAAGCAAAGTCGTTTTGGACCAGTTCGCCAGGAACATCACCTGGCTCCAGAGTTTATTTGCAGAGGCAGCATATATGTGGAAAAAGAGCATTTCGACATATATACAGTATATACTATTCACAAGCATTTGTGTTGCTCGACTCTTTCTTCGGGGCATCTGCCATTTTATTGGGAGGAGAACGGCTGCACCCCGATGCAGAGTTGCCCGGAATCCCAGATGCCTCCATCCCGGAAGGACGAAGCGTCGAAGCGTCGCCCTACCGCGCCACGGCCATTGACACCCAAAACGAGGGTCTTCTGGGGTCACAGACCTGGTGAGTCTGTTGAGTACCTACAAGGGAAGAACGGGGATGCCTCCGAAGATCAATCTCCAACCCAACTAAGCTGGGCCAATCTGGTCATTGGTATCTCGGGCGGTTCAGGATTGGAGACCACCAATCCTGACTCCTAGGTGGGCCCATGAGGGTGATTCTGAGGGTGATCAGGGAAAATCCTGCACTGGCCGCTGTGACCCCTCAGCTTAACTGCCAGGCACGGCTGGCTCCTCGCGAAGGAGGGCTATGTGGCGACTGGGCGGCAGTAGCAACGCTGTTTCGGTGGATCCGAGCCCGATCCGAAGCTCGGCGGTTTCGGTTCGATTGGGTGTTTTTGTAGTGTTGAAACATGCATGGTGCTTGATGAAGGCTTTGAAGCCGAGAGAGAGAGAGAGAGAGGGAGCAAGAGGGCAATCTATTTGTGCTTGAGTCCATTGAGTGAGACTAGGGTGACTAGGGCCTGGGGCATCTTCTATCAGCAAAGTTTGGAGGTATTTCTGGCCAATCAACACTGCTAACTGACATGCGACCATGTGGGAAGCAAGCGACACCGACATCCATTGACAGTTGGTGGAAAGCTTCCCGATGGTCGACTCACAGTACTTTGTTTGTTTTTCTACCTGCTGGGATATTTTTGGCTTGTGAGCCAAAATGCACATGAATTCTCGTGCAGAGTAGGTAGAATTATGGCTCATGGAGGTTCACTCTTGGTGCAGTGCTCTGAATTCTGGTGCAGGACCTTGTGATTGCTTGTCAGAGGACCCAGGTCCTTGCTCCATGGTCCGCCCCCATAGGTGCTCCGTGTGCGCTGCGAGCTGCTGGCCGAGCTGCTCCAAGAGGACCCAGGCGATGCTGCAGGCGCTCCGAGTCGCGAAGAAGGACGACGGGACAGCCGGGTGTGAGGCCGACGGAGAAATAGGAGAAATGCACCATCCACCAACGGTTGAAGAAGAGGAACCAATCAACCAATCAACCAAACCAATCACCAAACCAATCAACCAATCACCAAACCAAACCAACTACCCGACTTGGAAGACTTTCATGTCACATTGGGCTGACTGGTGCGAGGAAGGCAAGGCAGCAAGGCACAGAATGAGACTGGGATCCATCCAGGTCTCTGTCGAGTTGGGGTGAAGTCTTCATCCAAGCCGAGGTGGACACCCTGTGTGGGTCTTCTGCAAGTCCTCTTCCCAGGGGCCATGTCACGATTGGAACAAAGAAGAAGCTCCATCCAGATTGGAGAGTGAGTTTAGTGATTTGTCACCACTGCCCCGGTATTTTACGCACATGAAATTGCACTCCAGTTGCAGAGCCTACAACTGGCTTGTGCCACATTCCTGGTTGTGGGCTGGTAAACTACTTGTTACCACTATCTAACAGAATCTAACATGGATCTTTACCAAAAAAAAATCTTCTTTCTTGTAAAGGCAATCGCTTCAAGGCTCTCGAACCTTCCATTTTTGGAAGGTGGCAGATAGCATCTTAGTCCTTCTGCCAGGTGAAGCGCATCCTCTGGTGGTCTCTCGGCAAACAGGGGCGTGGCGCATCTCCGTTGGGTGTTTGAACCTGTGAAGCGCACCCTCCGAAGCACAGTCTTCCCAAGTGGTGGAAGCGCAGGATCTTCCGTGGTGAACCTTTGGGGGTTTGGTCAGAACATCGCGTCACTGGGATGAACATCGTGCCAGTTTCGATGAAGTCTGAGGAGAGGGATGGACGGAACCGTTGTTTCGAGCGATGCAAGGAACTTAATGAACTACGTTAGTTTTTGAGAAGCTTTGAAGCTGAGTTTTGAGATGGATTCACTGATCCACTAGAGCTCCAAAACTTCCAAAAAATAACTGCACGGCCACTGCACGCTTTGCAACCTCCCCAGCATGGCCTCATCCCAGCGTGCTGAGGTGAAAGCCTCCAAACCCGCCTTCCTGAGCTTCTTGCTCGACAAAGTGGACACATGGGAAGTTTTCTGTGGTGGTTGTGTAAGTGCAAGATATGTTTGGATGCCGTCATGGGGGCGTTTTTGGTGATGTGCTGCTTTCCTGGTTTGTATTGATTATTGAGGTTGCTTTCCGGCTCAACTGTTTGTATGGTTGCATTTTCGTGGCCTAGCTGTCGCATAGATTTCTAGATTTTTACAGGTTGGAGGCTGGAGGTATCTAGATGATTCTGGCCTCAACTCTGAATAGCTGACGGCTCTCTTGGCAATCAAGCGCCAGGGTAGTGTATGGTAGTGTAGTCTTCCCCCTCGTAATTCAAGGATCATCCCCCTCCACAACTCCCTGAAAAACCTTCATTGTCATTGCCTTCACCAGCAACACAGATCCTTGGCGCGTTTTCTCAGTGTAGTCCGTGCAATTCCCACTGACTTTCGACGTCAGAACCTCTGGTTTCTTGGATGGGCGGTTCCAAATATATCGTCTTACCTTGGCACCGAGCAATTCGAGGCTGGCTCGAGGATTTCGCCCGGCAATGGCTCGCAGCGAGCCCCGCCATCCCCACCGAAGAAGGCGGCCCCAAAAAGGTCCGAACGCAGGATGTGTGGGATGTTTCGGTGGCTGGAAGCATCGTGGAGCCCCAAAGCTTCACCAATTCATCCAATCGTCCAAGCACACAGGATGGATGGACAGGGCATTTTGAAGTGGGACGCCTGTAGAGATCCCATGGCATGTGGGCTGCCGTGGCTGCCGTGGGCCACGTGGGGCTCTCAACCGTAAACACATCTCCTATCACCCTATCACCTCCCAAAACCAGGTCTCCTATCACCCCATATACCCCCAAATTCACCCGTATATCACCCCTAAATCACCCCTATTCTTCTTGGGACGCCGGGGCAGTCCCCGATTCTTCTCTCGCCGCGATCCTCGCGCCACACCGCTTTCGCGCCTTGCCAGAAAGAGCGCTTGCGCATGCAGCGCCAGAAGAGATGCCAGGCGACCTTTTGCGACGTTGAACGCGTCCTCCGTTTTCATGGTCATTATGTACATATTTTATATAGTGTCTTTATTCCCTTTTCAGTTTTCTTGCTGCTGTTGGATGCACTGAAGAGCGACACAAATTACTTTTTTTTTTATTAGTACTATTTCTTGTCACAATCTTACTCAGCTGTTCGCTCTCTTCTAGGGTTTGGTAAGTTAATACATACACAAAAAAAATATACATATATACACACATACCTAGAACCTGATTGACCCCTGTTTTTGAGCCAAAACATGGTCTTTTCCTATCAAAACAGAGGTCATGTCTGGGTTCTAGGTATATATACATCAGCAGCCTGTGCGCGCTTTCGAGACACGCTGCCAGTGCACGGGTGCCAGTGCTGTGAGCGCACAGCGCGTCAGCCGCGACCCGGAGGAGCTGCGCCGCACGGAGAGCGCGGTGCGGCGCTTGGTGGAGGTGCCTTGATGGGGCGAAGAAGCATGGAGCTGAGCAGTTCGATGGAATCTGAAAAGGATATGGGCGATACGGTTAATAGATCTATTCTATTCCCCCAATCGGATATGGGTGATAATTACTGTTGATATGGGTGATACTGTTGGATCTATAAACCCAAGACTGGTAGGGTATGGGTGATCCTGTTCACGTGCGGTATGGTAGTTGTGTTGGCGGGTTGATTCCGTAATCGGATCCATCAAAAGACCATCTACAATGACTCAGTTGGTACCAACACAGGTTGAAGAACTATAGACCGGCCCATAGGTACCCTAATAGGGTCCTATTTACGGTCACGAAAAACCGTACTCGCTCGGGTGATGCATTCGGTGCTTGAAAAACCGGCGCTTTGGCGCTTTTTGCATCGATCAGCCAGGTGCTGGAAGCTCAATCTTCCCCAGGCCATGTGGGGCGATGACTCCATCGTGTGACGGGTTGTTCTGAAGGTCTTTTCTTTGTTTCGTACAAACGCGAATCCACAGAAAAGACACCAGAAGCCACAGAGCTTGGAGGCATTTGAAGATGGGGGAGTACTTTCAAGATGGGTCATGGATTGGATCACCTACTGACGGTGGATCGTCTGAAGGTGGCTCAGTTGGTCAAGTTAGCGGTCTGGTGCCATCGGAAGAGCCATCTCTGAGAATTTCTCAGCTGGTCCGAGACGGTGCAATCTTGAAGACTGTTGGAAGACTGTTGGAAGACTTCTCCTCTACATTCCTCTACATTTTTTTTTCTGAAAATGTCCACCGACTTCCACAGGCAGCAGGGTGAGGTGGGCCAGGACGAGAACAAGTCCGGCTGGGTGGAGAACTTGGCTTCCGCCTTTCTCCCAACATTCCGTAGATTTAGAGTGGTTTCAAAGTTACTGTAGATGGCGCAGACACCCAAGATGTTCTCTAAATGTGGATCCATATACACCACCGACATTGGAGATGGTGCCATCTACTCTGAACCCACTGTAAAAGGATTTGAAGCTTTTGGTCGTTTTTTGCTCAAGCGAACCAGCTTCATGTTTTCTCCCCCAGCTGGCATTCTGTGGAGTGAACACATGACACACCCCCGCCACCGACCTGCTTGGTGCCCAAGGATGCTGACACTCACACTGACACACCGTTCGAACCATCGATCACCGGCGAGCGAACCGGCGGTGGCACCGGAAACGGCCGGAGCATGCGGTGACACCGGTGTGGTGCAACGCTGAAAGGAACCCGTGTGGGCGGTCGTGCATTCGGGTGGGTTGCTTGGTGTGTGAAAACGCACTCGTGAAACGACGCTTCAAACGCTTCACGAGTCCTGAGAGGTGCGGCCTCCAGTCAGCCAGGATGACAAAAAGAGGGGCTCCTTTTTTGAGTCCGTTCGGAGGACGAAGTCGAGAGTGTGGACGGGAAGATCCAATTTGCGGATTCAGCGGATTCAGCCATATGATGACTGTGAGGAACTCACTCTCCCCCACCAAGCCATGGTAGGTTGACATTCCCTATACTATAGAGGAATCTGTTCATGACAGACCCGGGTCAACCAGGATGTCCTAGTTTTGACCCACAGCCATATTTTGTCGAGTTGGTGTTGAATAAGAACTCTTCTGTTTGATGCATGAATTTCATGAGTCACTTGTGAGCATTGTGGTTCACGGCATGTTTTGCCAGAGTAGGTGTCCGTTTCAGGATTCTCAGAGCACAGCCTTGAAACGGGGCTCGGATGCTTCCCCTCCAATCTATCTATTGGTTGCTGTTGGCGAGTCGTTTGGGGTGAGAAGCGTGGCTGCGTTCGGAGTACGATTCTTGCAGTTCCCCTCATGTAATGTGCTTTAGAATGGCTGCAGGAGATGCTCCAACCAAGACAGCCGATCAAATCAAATCAGCTCCTTTGGCTAGATTGGGACCCACTACTTCACACACACACAAGATTGTAGAACTGTAAGAACCACTTCTGGTAAGGATTCAGTTTCGATGGGTTGTGATTCCCAAGCAGCCTCAGGCTGAAGAACGGCTGAAATATTTGTCAAGGCAGCCATCTTCAGATGTCTGTCCCACTCCAAGGTGTTCCGCAAGTTTTCGCGTTCCTTGGCTCTTGGGTCCTGAAAGACTCCTAGCCATCTAGCAAGGTTTGAACACTTCTTGTGCTTCCCAGCAGAACTCCACTCCTCGCCGGCTCGTTGGATCGAACAAACCATGGGAGCCATGGGACCGAAATCAGGAGTTCAGTGGAGTTCAGGTACTGAATGGATAGCAAAGCAAGCTCTTCTTCAGCATTTCACTAGATAGCAAGAAAGGCTTGCCTTTCGCCTCGCCCTTTCTTTGTTTCTCGTTCCCTCTGAAAGAAGCGGGGGCATCTGAACATCGTGAAGAGGATCAGGGCCATGGCGCCAGAACCTCCGCCCAGCGAAACCTTGTTTGTGACGCTCGTTCTCTTGAAAGAGTGCCCGGTCCTCTTCCAAGGTCATCAAAGAAGGGGGGTGACCTGGGGCTGCAAAACCGCTTTCAACAGATCTGTAGCTGAAATCCTTGGGACCTTGGTGGAGCGAGGATGAAGTAGATCTGGGACTTCCACCTGCAAGCCAATATGTTGGAAGGTCGAGAGTAGGCCGGCAGACGTCTGGTGGGTTCCTGCACTTTCGGAATGCACGGGTTGATCCAATCCAGTGCGGGTTCAACCTAGATGTGTCCTGGCGGGGACGATCTTCCGCAACCGCAAACCTTCAGGTTTTGGGCAGCTCAAACAAACCTGTTTTGGCTGCTCGGTCCTGGTAGGTGGGTTACTGTTGATCAATCACCCCCCAGGCCTGGAGATGTAAAAATGGTATAAATATAACACATTGTGGAGACTGTTGTTTGTTTGTTTGTTTGTTTGTTTGTTTGTTTTTTTTTGAACGAATTCTTGAAAGGGCTCATAGCAGGACCCCTTGAAGAGGACTTTGCTCCCAGGCTCCTTGTATGTGCATCACTCGAAAAAAAACATTCCGAAAGACGTCGCGACCAACGCGACGTCGCGATGAAGCGTTGGTCAGACCAACGACCTGGATGGGGCTTGGTGTCCCAACACCCAAGGTCCCGAAAGAAAAAGAGGACATCCAGCTCCTCAAGCTCCGACAACACCAGGTCCTGAGCATGTCGCAATGCCCAGGACTGGCCTACCCATAGATTGTACCAATGAGTACGGCAAGGAGATCTTTGCGCAGTACGGTACGGTGGGGGAACCCGGAGAAGCGGAGAGAAGCGACAAAACGGTACGGGCATGGGGAAGGCTTGTGACATGGGCAGTGCATCAGCTTGCCATTTTTAAAGTCAGATTTTCATAGACCTTGAAGCCACATGAATTACTCTTGGACACGGTATGGTGATAGTGTAATCCTACCGAGGGCTTTCTGTTTCGAATTCGATATTTATGGTGAGTGATGGTCACGTCACTTGGTCGTCTCTGACGGACATGGACAGCACCTCACTGTCCCGGTGGTTCATGAGTACTCCAGTACTCCGGGATGTGCATCATCACCCAAAGACGAAGCTCCCCCAAAACATGTGGGGTGACCCTGGGATACTCCTTGAGAGGATATAAATGCTCAGACCCAATGGGTGCAGTTCTCCTCGACTGTGGCAGGCCAGGGCTTCCAGATGTGCTTGCTGTGCTCATTCTTTTTCCTGTTTCTTCTCAAGGTGGAAGTCCCAGACACTAACAGGAAAGGGTCGGCATCAACCGAGAGGGGTTGATGACCGATTGCCAGCTCAACATCCTCACAAGACCGATTGCTGACAATCCTGCAGTGGGCGTATTTTCAACGCGTCCACCTTTTTTCAAGTCCCAGGACTAATGCAAACTCATGCAAACCCTACCAAGCTGCCATGGGGTAGTTCCACTGTTGTTTGAGTCACCTCAATTTCAACACATCGCCGGCCTTGGCCGAAGCGACGGAGACGACCGCGTCCGTCCGAGCCCCGAGACCCGGCGACGGCCGGGCCGAGCTCCGAGACGAGACGAGGTGAAGGAAGTCACGACGCTGCCCGTCAGCGCGGGCAAGCCGCCCGGACCGGGAACCGGCGCGCGAACCGCGAGCCGCCCTCCGGTTTCGAACCGTGCCGTGCTGGGTAGGGGGGTCGACGTGACGGTTTATACTTTTTTTGGGGGGAAAGGTCTGGGTGTGAAAACACGGTGTTTACCTTTTTTCTTGAAAGGGCTCCACTATTGAGAGACGGACGTCCTTCACTTACCGCCTCCAAGAAGGGACCTGGGATCTGTGTACCTGCAGCTGCACCCCGAACACGGGGTGCCGGGAGGTTGCGACGACCGAGGAACGCCAAGGCTGCCTTTGTCATAATGGAGACGGTGGACGACGCCAAGTGGATCGTGGAGCATGTGAATGGTGGCTCAACTGTTGTGGTTCGTTTCGTCTAGAAACAGAAGCAGAACACCCGGTGGACCAAGGAGAAGGGGATCTAGATGCATCATGAATCTCAAAGCATCACACGGCCATGTTTGCGGCCTTCATGTGGCTTGTGGTCCCTTGTCTTGTTGGACATCTTCGTGACTCGGACAAACGTCCGAAACTTGGGCAACATCCAGTCCCCAACCTGCCGAGCACTTAAGAAGAGAGTCCATACCAGGAACACTCAGAAGTTGGGGAAGATGTTTCGTTGATTATTCATTGCATGGTTCTTCCACAGTGTTCAACACCGGATCACGAAGCCTATTGGATCCATTTGGGGTGGAGTCCGACCGATTGCGCCCCGTTCGCCGAGGCAACGTGCCCCAGAATTTAACAGACCCGGTGACCGTGGTCTTCGCAACGCCTAGAGCCGACCGGGCGAAAGGCAAGGGCATGAAGCTTGGAGGACGTGTTCATGCAGCTTCTGGGGGCGAAACACAATGGTGAACAAGGTCGGCCCATATCCCATGTTGGCTAGGGACCTGCGAGTTCTTTGTTCACCAGTCAGTGCTCTCGATGTTTTGGCTTCAACTTTGGATATTCGGTGAGGGTTTGGTTGCTCCTGCTATCTTGTTTGTTGAGAGCCACACAGTTCTTGGGACTTGTTGATGATTGGGTAGCGGGTAGCAGTGTTGCTGCTGCGGGCATTGCGGCATGTGGCTGCTGGCACCCGCCCTGGCCGGTTTCATTGGAGAAGGCCTCCAGAACGGACATAAAGGCAGGGTTCATTCTTGAGTATGGCCGTGGGTCAAGAAATACGACCCGGGGGAGGATTGGGTGTCTACCAGTGGGTTTGGATGGCACTCTGTCTTGAGCCATGGGCAATGGCCCTATCACTACTTGGTGATTCGGAGGCAACGAGCCATCGAAGACCCATGCCCAGTACCTCGACCATGGTCTTCCTTTCGACAGCTCGGTGTGGTTGTTGTGGGAGTAGTGCCAAGCATCGGAAAAGGCAAATGGATTGCGTCCTGGTGGTCTTCAGCTGCATCGAATACAGGTCTGGCTGCCACGGTCTGGCTGGTTCGACTATGCGCAGAGATGGACAGTACTTAGTCACACATCGAACTCCTGCGAACTCCTGTGCCCCACCAGGGAATCTTTGTCCCACATCTGTCGCCTCAAACTGGCCCTTCAATCTCAGCAGCTTTTGAGACTGCGAGACTGGAAGAACAACGGGTGAAAAGGACCTCACAGGACTGTTGGGTGGTTCCATTCTAGCTTGTTTTTCCTGCACAAAAAAAGGACCCCCCAGAACTCCACTCTCCTTCGAGAAGTCTGCAAGACAAAGCGGACACGAATGACACGAAGTGAAGCGGACACCAAAGCGGCCCAGGAAGGGAATGAAAGGAATGATGGGCATGATGAACATGATGATGAACCCCTGGGGCGCCTTGCATGAAAGAGCCTCGCTTTTTAGGCGCTGGGATGCCTTTTGTTTCACCTCAGCTAGGCGATCAACACCGGTCTGGCATGAGAAAACTCCATAGACTGGCTGCTTTTCTCCAAGTTTTGAAGGGCTGCCATAGGAACCATCTGCTGCTGCTCGTATTTTGGGGCGATGTTTTCTTCTTCGACTCACCTGGTGCGGGGGATTGGATTGGACGGCGGATTGGACACGGATAATTTTGTTTCACGACACTTTCAGCTCTCGTTCGGTCTCATGGCAACAATCGAACGACTCGTCCTTGTGTCCCTTTATTCTTCCTGAGTCTCCGAATAGTTTCAAACCAGTCGCCACTTGAGACCTTCTTAACGGGGCCGATGGGTATTCCGGTTCGATCCAGGAGTTCAATGCTAAGCATTTGTGCTAGCTGCTACATTCAGCACAGGTGGGAACTCAATCGTACCCGCTTCCGCGCTTCCCCCCTTCCCCCTAGCCTCCAGAAAGACTTTTCAAAGCATGCTGCAGCGAAGTTCAGTGTCAGTTGGGGGGCCGAACCTCGTCACCCGGTCCATGTGCAGTTTCCGAACTCCACGGCCTGCCGTCCTGGTTTTCTCAGGTGGCTGGGGTGGCGGCGGCGGCGGTGGCGGCGGCGGCTGGGGCGGCAAGGGCGGCTACGAACCCTATAAGACGGCGGGGATCTTGGGAATGGTTGTGGATGGGCGCGAATTGGTCGCTTGAGGAGGCAAAATTGGGGCACCAAACTGAACGTCCGTGCTTGTGCAGGGGTGTGGGGGAATTGAAATCCGCCCAGTTGGAGACATGGCCACTGTTTTCGTCCCCAGATCCAGAGGGCCACCAAGACGTATTGGGAATTGCTTGTGTACACATAAGTCTGACATATATCCTCAAAGGACATGTTCGGGTTATTTCGGGTTGAATCCTGGATACCTCACTTGAAACAGGACCAGATTTGAAACACGCGGCCGACCAGCCATCGCTCTTGATGAGACCTGGTGGTCGTAAGGATTCCGAGGACCTGGTGGTCGTCGTCCACTCGGTGGCAACGTCGCTTGTTGATACTCCGGGGATCTCTGCGGTTCTGGAGCGGTCTCCCCTAAAGCCTATTGTGAAGACACTGGATGGTAGAGCTCATTGCCCAGGCAGTGTGCTTTGTACTTTGTGGGCACCCCACCCCTATCCCCTTGAAGACCTGAACATGAACATGAAGACGTGATCCGGGCAGCCCGGATCTTGCCCACCCCGGTCGCGGACCCGATCGGAGCGAGTTTTGTTGGGTGAGAGACGAGAGCTTGATGTGAGTCGTGGATGAACAAGCTATTTTGTGGGCCGCCTTGTGGCTTGAAAGACAGGTAGAGTGCACGGCTTGTTCATGAAACCTTGGCTTTATCGTGCGCACTTGACGAAACTGTTAGTGTTCTGGAGCCTGGATATGCATCGTTCTGGGCACACTCTGTGGTTGGTATATCGGCAACATCCACTTTGCTAAGCTGCTTCACCGAGGTTGTTTTGCACCCCCGGACAGGTTTGTTTAACGATTCTTGCTCACCATTGTTTCTCTTTTTTTGTCTGATTGCTAGCAATGTTTCGGGCTCACCACTTTCAGACAGCTCAGCTCCCTTTTGCTAGGGATACTACGACAACCAGGCATGGAGTACCTGTTCGCAGAGGGGAGTTCTTGGGGTTGGCTAGGGACCTGCAAGGAGAAACTCTTGGTGAGCGCTTGGCTGCTGTTAGAGTTATTGGAATCTCCACTTCTACACTAGGATGGCTATGATAGATATTGACAATTAGATCTTAATCAGTTTTCTGAAGAAAAACCATGTGGACGTTGCTGTAAACAAAGCCCTGCTAAGCTTGGTCGTTCACATGGTCCAGTTGCAGCATGCAGCTTTCAATTCTGGGGGCACATAGGCTCTACGGGTGTTTTTCATCCAAACACTGGCTCAGTGGGAGCCCGCGAAGCCTCGAGATGAGGGACTCTTGTCTTCCTCTCCGCATCCTATGGAATTCTCGATGACCGTAAGTATGAATGCAGACAGTTAGATATATACACCAAACACATCCAAACACCCTGTCTTGGTAGTAGCTCCTCCAAATCTATCGGTGAGTTGTCATTCTGGTGGACAAATTCCCCGCCACCAATCGTAGGTACCTGCTTAGTGCCGTGATACCAAATTGACGCTTTCTGTGGTCTGCGCAAAGTGACCTGTCCAAATAGAGTCACCCCTAGGTTTGAGTCAGACCAAGAAAGGTCCGTTTATGGTTTTCGTCTCCGTGCAATACAGTACGCGCGACTGATCGACCCCGCGAGCTGATCCACCCAGCATCACGACTCGGTCCCACCATTTTTGCTCGCTGCGTCGCGCGCCAGTGGGAGATGGGCAGCAAGGGCAAGGGCAAGGGTCCACCAGGAAAAGGCGCAGGGTGGGTGCACCGTCTCAGGAAGTCGAGGAGTGGGAGAACTAAGGACTGGGCCAAATGTGAGGGATTGGTTGGAGGCTGAACTCTTGAGCTAAACTGGAAAAATATGGAACATACTGTTCAACCCTCGATGCTCGAATCACATTGCTTTCGTCCGTTTGGCACTGGAATTATTTTGCAGTCTTTTATATAGCATCCATCCTCGGCGATTTTCACAGTTTTTTGTCCGGTTTGATCTGTCCTCCATCCTCATACCAACTCGATCCATCCTGTAGAGGGTGATTTTGGATTGGATCCTACCCAAAGCGAGCTTTAGCAGTTGATCAACGGCGGAGGGCCAGATGGCACCTGGATTGGTCTCGCCGTTCGGATTCCAGGTGGCATGGGCTTTCCGGGCGGCGGCATGGGCGGCAAAGGCGCGCCGCGACGCGCCGACGCGCGGGATGCAGAATGGGTCCCCCCTTGCTTGCACTGGACTGAAATCCAGCGGGTTGACGTCACCATTCAAGAAAACCTACTAATTAGAACGGTTCTTTTTGGCGTGTTTTTGAACTCAGGGTGCCTAGGTTGCATGATGATAGGGCACCAGTGTTTGAAAAGAAACCTTGCACGGAAAACACGCTTGAATCGTGGGAGGTCCTGCTCGGCTTCAAAACGACCAAGGAGTTGGGCTGTAGATGGAAGCACTTCTGCACTGCCTGGAGTACCACCCCTGTAATATTAAGATTGAGATGCTACCCATATCTCAACCAATGATTTTCCGGAGTTCATTCTAAACAGCAGCGGTGGCTTTGCAAAAACGTTGGCTGAAAAGGCACCCAGCGAAAAAGGGGCGAGTTGCTGGGGGTCTCACGGATTTCACACACACCCACACCCACACCCATGGGCGACGGGTGCGGGTTCTCCCCCATGCGACCATGGTCCTGCGAGGCTTCATGAAATGAGATTCGTCTACGCCGCAGAGCTGCTGACCATCCAAGGCGCTGGGTGCCATGCGCTGCGTCCTCCGCAGACATCCGATGTTCTTTTTTGCTCGGATGGCAAGGGACATGGTGGCTAGGCTTAGGAGATTCCTAGGTTTTGTTGAGACACAACTTGACATTTCCAAGTTGCACTTGATGGAACCAGAGAAAGGGTGGAGTATCACCAGACTCTACCACCAAAAGGACTTTTGATATAACATAACGTGACTCAAATGATAATGGAACGTTTGAGGTCCCCAAAGAGAGAGGAGGAGGGAGCACTGAGGTTGGAGGGACAACTTTTGGTCGTTGAGGGAGCACTTTTCTATCTTCAACTCTGGGAGCTTGAGCCAGTTTGGGGTGCCACATCCAGCTCCATGCAGGCATCGCCGTCGTGGGTGGCATCATGTGACGGGGGACACCGAACGGGAGAAACTTGCGCCGCTTCGTGGCCGCGAGTTACGCGAGTGGTTCGACCCAAAGATCAACACTGGAGAGTTAGCATGATGAGTGTTTCCCACTTCTTTTCCTAGATTCCAAGATGGGTGTAGGTCCCTCAACACATACCTTCTAACCTACACCGACCTAAACGCCAACAATAAGAAACCTAAACAAGCTCAAAGTCTTCCGCATTGGAGGAATCATACCAAATATTCTACTCACCACTTGATAGACAGATAAATTAGACAGAGCCAAAGGTAGGTTGACCCGCATTCCATCTGATAAGACGACATAATGTGAATGTCTCGATTTGGGAGATCAGCCATTCGCTTCTTGAAGCCGAGCGGAATGACTGCTGCTCTCCACTCTGAGAGGTTGAAGCTTCGTTTTCTGGAGTGCTACTTGGGTGTCCATTCATTTTGAGACGAACCCCAACAATGAGAAGCTTTGAGCTGGAAACCCGTGAAGCTCAGAATTCACCAACTCTAGCGACCTGGGTCGTTCCATCGCTGTGAAAAATAACTCGCTTCTCCGACTTTTGGAGTGCGAGGAAGGATCCACATAAATTGGATCCTGAAGAAATTGGATATTTAATGAAAAAACAAAGACATCGAACCAATAATAAGCAAAAAAGAAATCAATCAACCTACATAGATACATACTATATTTCTACACTGACACTTTCCTGTCAACCCATATTATTGTAGAGCGGTCTTGGTCTGCATACAATGGCCTGAAAATACAAAAAATCTAAATTGAATATTTCGATATCCCATATAGAAATGGACATTTAATATTTTCTTTATTATGGCAATCATTAGCTTATAATATTTCTTTGAAATGAATTATTTAATTAATCTAAATAAATATCTATATGTTAGAATTTACATTATCGATTTATATTAATTATAAAATATAAAATAACAATATATATTATATAAATATACTATAAATAATTTAATATTAGAAAATATATGTTATATATATTAATATAATTTATTATATAATTAAATGAATATATTTATATTTAACTAAAATTAAGAATTTAATAAATGGATTATATATGAATATATTTATTTTATAGAAAATAGGAATAAAAAGAAATACGATAAGAAAAAGGAAATATATGTATAAATAAAAAAATGTCGGGCTAATATTGTATTGGACGATGATTTATTTTGATTATATTAATTTTTTTTGAATTAATATTTATATCTTTCTTATATTATTCTGAATATTTATGGATAAAATTATATAAATATAGAATATTATTAATATTAATTATAATTCCATGAATTTACTAGGTGCTTGAAAAGGTCTGTATTAAAGACCTCATTTATTTTATATAATTGATATATTTTTATATTTAATATTTTTAATCTTTGACGAATAAGAATGGAATTTAAAGGAGATTTAGAAATGGATTCTCACGGAATTGCAATGAATATTTCATTTTGGGAATAGATATTTTAGAATATTACTAAATATATATTAATTTAGAGAGCGGGTGATCATGGGGCCTGGGTTTTGGCTTTCTCTAAAATTTTAGGTACATGCTTTAGTGGCAGCCTCTCTCCATATAAACACATATATCTATTCTTGCTCTCACTCTATATGAACAAATATATTATGGTTTGGAAGCAGCAATCAATTATTCAGATGGTTTGGAATAAGATAATTAGAAAAGAAGCATGCCATAAAAGTGATTATTTTAACAATTGTCCTCTAGATCTCTGCTTATAATTATGTTTAGATTTGGAAAGATTGTGTATAGATTCTTTTATGTTATAAAAGATTCTTTATAGATCTCTGCAGATAATTATGTTTAGATTTAAACAACCATATAGAAACCTTGTATATTAAAAGCTTTCTTCTAGATTTCTGCTGGCAAGAGTTTGCATTTTCAAAGTTTTCCTCAGGATCTCTGGGAAAATAGATATCCCTATATGTGTTTTCATGAAAGGAAAGCTCTTGAAAGAAAGATTTATTTATTGATATATAGCATATTTCAATTGACATGACCATTTCCAGAGATCTAGAGGAAAGCTTTTGAAAGGAACGCTTATATATAGTTTTATTGTAGAATTGATCATCCCCAGAGATCTAGAGGGAAGCTCTTGAATTAGAAGCTTGTACATAAAACATGTTTAATATGTATATATTATCTCCAGTGATTACTGACAATAAATAAATCTAACTATTTACTTCAAAAAAGAGTTTTAGTCTTGATCCTAGCACTTCCAGAGCAAAAAATACTGTAAAACACGGGGTTTTGTAGCATGTGTTTTCTTAAACTAAATAGATTAGAGCTAGAATAGAATTAGGTAGAATTAAATTGGATTTGAGTTAGAGCTAAGATAAAATTGAAGTAAAACCGAATTTTAATAAACGTGTATTGAACTATAACTATAGCCTAATTGAAATTAGATGAGATTTGAATTAGAAAGGAATTAGAATTAAAATTAGAAGTTCGCCAGAATAAGATGTAAACGCTTGAGCTATAAGCACAGAATTACGCTCGCAAAGATTTCCAACCGTTTCATGTAAAGGACAGAGTGTCCTCGCAACTGCATGTCAAGCTGTTTGGAAATGCAAGTGGCAACCGCATTGATACCAGTCAGCAGTTAATGCACTCAGACTTGTATATGGAGATTTGGACAAGGACGAAGGAAGTGTTGAGCTCAGACGGTTTCAGACGTAAGCAAAAAGAACAGATGCCTTGAGGTGAGAAGTAAGTTCAGATGCTAAACCAAAAAACCTTGAGAAAACACAAAAAACACAAAAACAATTCTGAGAGACTCTTGCTTGGACCCCCCAAAATCAGAAGAATCAGAAAACCAAAAAACCTTGGGGAAACCAAAAAAACCAAAAATACCAAAAATACCAATTCTGGGGAAGTCTTGAGGAAAAGGGGGTCCAGCCAAGAGTCTCTGAGAATTGTTTTTTTTTGGTTTTCCCAAGGTTTTTTTGGTTTTTTGGTTTTTCTGATTTTGGGGGGTCCAGCCAAGAGTCTCTGAGAATTGTTTTTTTTGGTGTTTTTGTTTTTTTTTGGTTTTCCCAAGGTTTTTTTGGTTTTTTGTTTTTTCTGATTTTGGGGGGTCCAGCCAAGAGTCTCCCAGAATTGTGTTTTTAGTTTGTTTGTTTTCCCATGGTTTTTGGTTCTTTTTGTTTTTTTCTTATGTGTTTTTTTATCCTTTATGCATATTTATCAGTGTTTTTTGGTTTTGATTGTGGCATTAATGCATTTACCTAATATTTATGAACATTTATGGAAAACCAAAACCCAGGCCCCATGGCCACCCCTTCTGTTAATTTATATATATTTTTTTACAATAATTATTTATAATATATATTTTATCTTTAAATTATATATAATTATTAACTTAATATTATGAATTATTAATATATTGATGCTTGCATGAAATTCTATGAATTACTTTAATTGATATTTCAATATATAATTATTCATTTAATATTGAAATACATTAGACTTAATATAATGAAGAATAATATAATATAGTATTAAATACCGATTATATTTTCTTGCAATGAAATACCTGACAAAAGAACACTCAATAGAAAATAATCGGCAGGCAATAAACAACATACGATAAATAACCAATAATCCGCAATAAACAATAAACAAGATGCAACACGGACTATATAACGATCAATAAACAACAGGCAATCAATAGCAAAAAGCAAGCAACAAGCAAACAAGCAACAAATAATAAACCCATCAAATCGTTCTATACACTGATCAATCAATTCAATTATCAACAACGTCAACCTATTTGGACATTATATTGAATCACATCAAATCCCGTAAATAGAAGGTATCCACCTTTTTGCATAGAGATTACAATTAAATATATAATTTCGATGTTGATTATTTATTGTTGGCGGCTGTTGGCTGCTACTGGCTCCTGCTTGCTGCTGCTGGCTGCTATTGGTTATTGCTTGCTGCATGCTGTTGGCTGCCCACTGTTTGCTGCCTGCATTTTGCTATATATTGTTTGTTGCATATTATTTGTTGCTAATTATGTATTGATGGCTATTGATTGCTGGTGGCTCCTCTATCTGTTGCTTGCTGATGCTGTCTGTTGTTTATTGCTTATTGCATATTGTTTGATGGTTGTTATTGCTAATTGATCCTTATTAATATTTGTAATTTATTGTTGTTGTTTGCAATGAATTGTTGGTTGCCTGATGCTGACTAATGATTGCGTGCTGCTTGGCATTTGCCGTTGGCTGTTTGTTGTTGGCTGTTGGTTATTGCTGCTGGTTGCCTGTTGGCTTTTTTGTTGTTGCCTGCCTGCTGCTGGTTATTTGCAATTGATTATTTATTTCATATATTGGATGATTTATAATTGATTATTTGCAATTCATTATTTGTTTTTCTGGCCTATTATTGGACGCTGGGCTTTTGCTGCCTGGTGGCTGGTTGTTGGCTACTTACCGCTTTCCATTTGTTGCTTGCGGTTCATTGCATGTTGTTTGTTCTTTGCTGTTGGCTGTTGGTTATTGATTGCCGGCGGCTGCTGGGTGTTGCTTGTTGCTGCCGGCTTCTTACTGCTGTTTGCTATTTTTTATATGTATTTTGCTATTTATTGTTGGCTTCTTGCTGCATATTGCTTTCTAATCATTTGAATATATTCCTCGAATACTTATTATTTTCTGTAAATTGATGTTTCTTCTTTATATTCTAGGACGTAAAAAATAATATCATATTTTATATTCATTTAACAAATTCCCATATTTTAATATAAAATATATTTAATATATTCTAATCAAAAAATAAGAATTTCATATCCTTTATATATTCCTTTATTTTTATTTTGATTATTTATTAGATCTATTATATAAATCATTTCCATAATTTCAATTTATTGATTAATTATCTAATTAAAATAGTATAATATATATATATATATTATCAAAAATTATTTGATATATTATTGTTATTGTTATTCATTTCCAGTAGCGAGCTCTCCCCCCGTGTTGGATTACAACCTTATCGGTCGGCTGCATCTATCGCCCAGGCGGCATAGTGGAAAATGAAAGGCTGGTCATCCAGCTGTAATGAATGGAACAAAAGGATTGGAGATTGATTCGACAATCCGGCTCCAGGCAATTGTGAGGTATTCGTGAGCCACAAGCCAGACAAAATACACATCTTCGTCCACGTCAGGCACATGTGGACAAGGCATGGGTTAAATGCAATCTGGTGCAAGCTACCGATACTTACTACATCAAAATTATTCCATCGAGCGGTCCATCCGGTGGAGCAAATGAAACATAACAACTGGATGGAGAGAATGAGGTGGTTAGAATGCTCATCCAAAGCTGGAAACCGGTTCTTTTGCAAACAAATTATCGTAATTAAATTATCGAATCCAAAAACACTACTACATAGACGACGAATCCTAAATTTTCTATCGAATCTTCAACCCTTGTCTCCCATCGTAAAGGCTAACTAAAAAATCTATAATATAAGGTTAATAGATTCAATTCCCAAATTCAATTACATCATACTAATGCCCCACAACATAAAATTAGCCCAGCTGGAGACCCCAATAGCAAGATACAAACCGGACAAAAAGAAAAATCTGGAAACAACTGCTGTTTTCAACACATCGACCATCTCCTCCTTGGACACCATCATCACATAACCGGGACACCATCACAAAATGACCAGGGCACCATCAAAACATGACCGAGACACCGTCGCAATATGATTGGGACACCATCACAACATAACCGGGACACCATCACAACATGACCGGGACAATATCACAACATGACCGGGACACCGTCACATGACCCGGACACCATCAAAACATAACCGGCACACCGCCAAAACATGACCAGGACACCATCACAACAGGACCGGGACACCATCAAAACATGACCGGGACACCGTCACAACATGAG